AAGCTCTTTAAAGTAAAACCCAAGGGTCATCGTTGTTTGGGAAATATCAAACCAAAGCTACGGAGAGTTTCACAGAGTTTCATTCTGACCTTGGACTCAAATATAAAGACATTACGTCAGAGTTCGAGTACTTTTTCCCCCGAGAATATCTCCCTTTCACCAACAGTCCTCTTCGGCTGTCTTTCACCGATTTGAAAACCATGACTACAACCAAGCACTGACGTAATGTCTCAGCTGTGAGCCTCTCCATTGCTTTAGTTTGCTGCTTCCAGAAGTTATTTTTAAACAAATATTTCTCTATTCAAAAGGGTTTTTTTCTCCCCCATGTCCCTCAAGGGCCGCCGTAATTTTGTAACTAAGGATTTTGTTTATTTCATACAGATTTTGCTTAACCCCTCGTGACTAACGACTAAATACAGAAATGGCTGAATCTTAAAAACTATAAGGAGTTATATCAAATACTTGGTACCATTGGATTCAACTTCAGTTAAAGCTGCAGTCCGTGTACGTCGGGGAGTGCCGCGGCCGCATTATGAGCCAGTATATCACACGTAAATCAGATGAAGATTACTGTACAAAGCTTACTTCCTGTTTCCAGTGGGTGGCACTGTGACTATGACTGAATATTGTCAAGTAAATGTTTTCAGGCCAAGACTCCCATCAAACACATGAAATTTGAATATTGCAAAAACTGCTGCAAAATTGCACATTAAATTCGAAATGGCCGACTTCCTGTTGGGTTTGGGGCATGGCTCCAAGAGGCTTTTTTGTACGTTTGGTCGTGATACATGTGCGTACCGATTTTCATGCATTCCGGTAACACGTGCCGCGGGGGGCTGCAGTTTAACGGGCGCTGTGGAGCCATTATATGAGATGGAATGACACGTACATTTTCACTAACGCCAACTTTTGTGCCACATTTCATATTTTCAGTTAAGACAAATAATAATTCCCTCAGTGGTCGCTGCTCGGGCCCCAATAATATGTACTTTGATCCAGAGCCAATCTGATATTTAACAAATGTTTATTCTTGTGATTTTTCTAAATAAAATGACCTTTGTCTACCTATTGGGGAAAATTAATGTGTGAAATCAAACATTTGGATTTTGCTGTGTGCAGCCACATGTCTCCACAGTTTCTACTGCAGATTTTGTGTTTCCACCTCGAACAGAAAGAATTCTGTGGAGCTTTTCCTTAAAATATAGTCGTTAGTTGGTTACGGATTCAGGTTATTTCATAGACGACTGTAATGCAGGGGTCTCAAACTCACACTGTCTTGGGGCCACTGTTGGTATTGTTATCTCCGGGTCAACGTTCAAGTAAGGAAGTGTAATATTCTGAAACTGTTTCCATTACTACAAACAATGCAAACAGCAGTTTCTATACAGTCTTATATCATTCTTGATGTTTGCTGGCAGTTTTATTGTAATTGTATATGAAGGGGTAGTTTAAATTGATGGAAATAACCAGAAAAAATATTTTTTTAAAACTGATTATCTTAAGAATCTTACTTCATTTTGTTTCAGGATATTTTCAGAAAGATTATCAAGATTAAGGATTTTTGCTAATTTTAGTAATCAAGGATTTTGCTTATTTGAACTATTCAGTCTCACAATGGTGGTTTACGGGGACACTCACATTATTTGCTTTTGTGACGCACACACAAAGTGCAGATTAAAACTGTAAAAAAATATTTTAAAAATACACTGGATGAGCTGATTCATTTCAGATTAAACTCAATGCAGAAAATCAGTCGTAGAAATACAATTTGCCGCAATCTTATATAGTTTCACACTATTTCCCCCATTTACTCAGAGTTACTCTAATCTACAGGATTATCATTTATCATTTCAATTATCATTATTGCAGTCTTTTTATTAGTGGACTGTATAGTTAGTATATCTGTTCTTCTCACCACTAGGGGGCAGCAAATATTGTAAAAAGTCTTGCAGCAGCAAACACACAAGTTTTAAATCAGGAGGAATACAGCCAACATTTTGCATATTAACAAAAGGCTGAAATGACGATGTGTGTCTCTTTTAGTGATAATTCCACACACAACTCGGCACAGTTACTGTCTGGTTTAATCTCACAGTTCTTATCAACTGTGTTTCCAGCAAATGAGGTTGAAGAGCGAGCAGAGAGTGAAGTTAGGGGGCTGTAAATCCAAAACAATGAGCTGAAAGATCCTAAAAAGGTAAGTTGGTAGCATTGAGGCATTAGCTAGAGTTGGGGGTTTGATTCCCACTCACCTCAGTGTCTGTGTCCTCTTTGGGCAAATCCGCCGTCATGGCTGAAGGTTGATCATAATAATCATACATGAGATCAGAATTTGCTGGTGACAGATGTCGCTGTAAATCTGACTCCAACTGTTTACCATTCATCACAAATTCATTCAAGTCCACAAGTCCGAGAGATGGTTCTGAGTTCCTGATTCTCTCAAACACCGGTGGTCTGAATGCCTGGTATCGGCCGTAGATGCCCCTGTAGGCATATTATTACAGAATGAAGTGAGTTTACAGTCGATCTGTATATAGGGGTTTTAAAACTCTTTGGATAGTCAAGGAAAGTCTGAAGCACGCTGCAAGTTAAAGAAACATACTCCTCCTAATTTGTGCTCGTTGTTTGTTCCTGATACAAAACTGATATTTTAATCATGCGAAACTTGTTTAATAAGACCACCTTTTAAAAAAAAACAACTTTTGTTATCGTCAACAAACCGCCATGAAAACAAAACCAACATGTCCCTACACTGTTAACAATCATGACGGGTATTTATTTAAATATTACAGGAAGCTGTTGTGAATTATTACAAAATATTGTAATTTCACATCAAAATACTGTATTTTTACAGTAATATGACTGATTACTGTAAAAACACAATACATTACTGTGATTTTCATCCATATTACTGTAAAATAATTACTGTTTGCTACTGTGAATTTACTGCAATGATAAGCATTAAATTAAACTTACAACAATATATTTCACAGTGTACCTTGTCTTTGGCTCTCAGGTCCAAGACCAGTGGTTTCTAATGAAGATGTCATTATTTAAAGGCTCATTAATTTCCTCTAACAGCTGGTCATTGCAGGAAATTGGTGGGGACTATTTTCAGAGGCAGATTAAATCCACATTTGGTGCTCCAGTGAGTATTTGGGGCAGCAGGACGGTGTATGTGGGACTGAGTCAAAATAAACTACAGTGTGTTCGTGGAGGGGAGACTCACAAAACAGTGAAAAAGACAAAGTATGGAGACAGTGTTATATATAAGCTACATAGTTACATCATACAACATAATTAAACACATCAGACAGTAGAAACCTGTTAACTTTTATCTGATTTGTTTGATTAGAACAAAAACAGTGAAATCACATAAGCTGATATTGCAATAGATCGCCTGTCTTTTACTTATCAATGACACTTAACACAAGTGTTAATGTGGCCAAATAGAGCTCTCCTATATCAGTTTTAATACTAAGATTGATGGTTAACATCATAGATTTAGATAAATGTTGAGGGTCACTTTAACTGATGCTTTTCTAAAAATATAATCTATTTTGTAATTAACATTGTCAGTGTAGACTGTTATAGAGTGTGTTCAGAGTCTCACCTGGAGGGTTGTTGGTTTCCTCTCTGTTCACCTACAAACACATGGAAGCAACAACCAGAATTATATTTCACCAAATAAAACCAAAACCAGCTGATGTCACAGGGAGGATGACGGCTTACCTGCGAGTCACTGTGTTTCCAAAATATACCAAATATCAGCAGAAATATGAGCAGCACACTAAAGCTGTTCCTTCGGGGCATTTTACTTCAACAACGTACTGAAACATGTGAAAAGGCGCACAGCTTCAGTTAAACTGCTGTTTTCCTTTCCTGTCTGAGCAGCTGAAACTCATCAATTAGCTGATTGTGTTTCCTTTTGCTGGATGTGGATGTCAGGGTTTGTCCACCAGAGGTCCCTGTTGTATTTTATATTTACTCTTTTCATTCTAGTCTTCAGGTAAAAGCTTCACCACAGCAGCAGCAGAAAATACACTTTTATTTTTACACAAATGACATAAAACTATATTTGTTCTTCCATTTGTTACAGAAAGAGGAAATTATCTATATATATTAATCTATATATATATAGGACTATACATAAGATAAAGATATTTAAAAAAGCATTATATTACACTTTATCTAGCACAGCTAATCTAAAACAATTGATTTTGATGATGTTGAATTGATAAAGAAAAGGAAAAAAATATCATTTTGATGTCCACACATATCAAATAGTTATAGTAAGTCTATCTCATAAGGTAAAATAGCTTTTAGACAGTATCGACATCAATGTTTTAACAGACTTTGGATCCAAACCGCTGCTCATAAGAGCTTTGGCCTGAATCTCCTAAATAAAGTTTCCCAGCTTCCCATCTCATGGTTGCTCAGCTGAAGGTGAGACAATGGGTGTGGCCTAGGGCAGGGCGTTGCTGATTGGCTACAGATTTCTTGATGTTCCCAAATGCACAGACTTCTGGGAAAAGGCTAATCTTATTGGTTCCCACATTACCACGTCCTCTTTTCAGTCTGGTTTCTAGTAGAACAGCAGTTAAGCATCAGGGAAATATAAAAAATACACAATACAGACAGAGAATTGTATGAAAAGTTCCCTAAATAGGAAATAATCTGCTCAAAATTCATAAAAATCACTCATTTTACATAAACTTACTGCAGTTACTGAGTTCACTGTTTGGGTTCATTGTACAGTTTTTAATATAATATTAAATATCTATAAAATATGTCACTTATTCAGTTACGTTTGTATCTCTAAAAAGTCAGAAAAACAAACAAAAAAATGTTTTCAGGACTTTTTCTTGACAATACAGGACAGCACTTGCTCCAAGGTGGTGCAGGGACACTCACGTTTTGCTTTTATGATGCACTTTGTTGTTTTCACTGCAGCCGATTTTGACGCTGCAGCCTCAGTGGAGCGTAAAAAACAGTTCAAGTCAAGTAAAATTATTTTATTTTACAGAAAATCCATCTTTTCACCTATAAGCCTATAAAAAAAAGTATAACAAAGTATATGCTTTCGTTGGACGTACAATTAACACTGATCAACCACAAACAACAAATGTAAATTTGATCATTGATAACAGGCTGTATGATTGTAGATCTGAGAGCATTTCCAAAGTAGACCTGATGCCAAAAGGTCGCTGCAACAACTTTTGACTGACATTGAATCAACAGCAACTAACTCACCCAGATTTATGTGATCTGAGTCGGGCTGACATACAATTAAAGTTTTCCAGGACAAGATATTCATTTCCAGGATATTTGGTCATTTTAATAATTTTAAATTAAATCTTAAATCTTAAAAACTAGTCTCTAAATTTCCAGACTTTCCAGGATGCGTGTGAACCCGGAGCCATTTTTCAGCTTTGTAACGATGCATTTTCCAGCTAATCCAAAGGGGATTTTAAATTGTTTATTTACTTGAAGAAGAATTTTCTCAATCCATAAAGGAACACTTCAGTCTATCACAAACATTCACACAATCTGGAGATACGTGGTTTTCACTGGACACTAAAGGCATGAAAAACTATAATCTGAAAAGTAAATTTGCCAGGCAAATGTAGTGGAGTAAAAAGTATATTATTTCCTCCTGAGGTGTAGTGGAGTAGAAGTATAATGTTGCACACTCGATGTGGACATGGTATTAGATGCTAACATTTGCCTGCTAACATGGCATAAGCTAACACGTTTACATACCAACACTAACATTTGTGTACAGTCACTGTGCGTGCAAGAATTAAAGGACTTTAGAGGTATTGCGTACACATTCTATCATGCTAATATTTGCAAATTCAGGTTCTGGAGCAGTCATTCACCAAATGCTTTCTTTTACATACAGCTCATGGAAAAGAAAACAACAGACTTGAAAACACTGTGAAACTTTAAAATACAGAGCTTTCGCTTGGTTGTTGAAATGACAAGTGAACAGTGCAAACAATCGTTGAACAAAGATGTTTCACTGGCAGTCCAGCTCAGGGCTGATAATCCACGGCCAGATCGTCAACATCTCCTGCGGCGTCCGGCTGTGAACCAGCATCAAGCTCCTGTAGATGCAGGGGTTGGACCTGTACTTCTCCTCAATGTCAAAAGTCTTGAAGCCCTTGTGCTTCTCAGGAACCAGGCCCAGCTTTTCCAGACACATCCCTGTGTAGACGTCGTCAATGGGATACAAGACTACCTGCCGAGATATGTTGTGAAGGCGAAGCGCTAACTCCCCAGAGTACAGATATCCACCGCCTCCTGCGTAAGGCGGGTACAACCCCTCAAACACGCTCTCTGGGACAAAGTACTTGAGTTTCCGGTCTCGGTGTGGACCGGCTTTGCTGATAACATCGCCTATGAACAAATCCTTGGCTTTGTTCTTTGACAGGCCTTCCAGGAAGTCAATAATCCGTAAGGTGTTGACAAAGACATCATCGTCCCCCTTGAGGATGTACTGGGCGTGGGGACAGTTCTGGCTGAACCACCCCAGGAAGAGGACCTCCTTCAGGGTCAGGTTGAAGAAGGTGTCCCTGTAGTCCCACTGGAGGACGTCTTTGTGAAGCTCTGCCTCGTGGCTGAGCATCCCCAGCAGGTCTGGGAAGTGGTCCAACGACAAGGTGTTGCCTAGCAGGAACACCGTCACCACAGTCCGATTGGCGAAGACACCCGCTCGCCCCCATGTTTCACGAATGGCCTGCCGCCGCTCAAAATGCGGGATCAGTGACTTGACCACCAGCAGCAAGAAGGGTTTTTCATCACAAACATGCGGCTGATTAATCAGCAGGGGGTATGTCCGGCAGCGCATGTGCAAAAGAAAATCCTGGAATCGCTGCGGGAGGGAGTTGTAGTCCGAGATTTGTGTGGGGACTCTGTAATCTGGTTCACAAGGGTTGAGCGGCCCGGTGTCATTCAGCCAATCCGGCAGCTCAATTGGAGAGTCGCTGGAGAGCACAGAGTTGACGTTGGGGTTGTAAATGAAGTCCAGGCGCTGCTGCTCCTTGTTCCAGAAGGATTTGCTCACTACCTGTTGGTGCCAAAACCTCTCAGTCGGGATGTGAACCTTGTGGCGGTTACTCTTGTTGTTCCTGAGGTTCCACGACACGCCCATCAGAACGCAGATGAAGACATTGAGCATCATCAGCACGCAGAGCGCGTTCGCCCTCCTGCGAACCACAGGCATGTTGCCTCCTCGCGGCATCTACACGAAACAGATAAAGAAAATCACTGAAAATCAACAGGCTAAAATCTGCAGAATCATGGCCTCAACGTGCAGACTTACAACAAAAACAGAATATAAAGGGACATTTGGAAACATAGAAACAGCTAGGTCGCCCTTGGAGCCTTCAGCGAGAATAAGACTGGAAGAATCTGGTACAGCAGTTCACCGGGAAGCTTATCTCCCTGTCTGGTTTCAGAGCTCAGACCGGCTGCATACAAGGCCGCATTTTCTGTCTCTAATCCTACAAGAACGGGCCCATGAACAATTTTTTCCTCATACCCTCCCTCCTCCTCTTTCTTCAGCAGACGGGAATCACACGTTTCCAATTCAGCCGTGCACATGACGCCAGTTTACTGGCAGCATTCTTTGTCACGGCGTGCTGACTGCACACACAGAGGAGCCCACAAACTTGTTTTTTCAGCATAATGGTGGTTGATGATGCAGCAGCGCACAACAAGTTAAGTTCTTAAGTTAGTTTTACTTAAATACACGTAGAAAATGTTAACAGATAGACCACTTGATGTCACTGTTGTCACTTACTGTAGCACAAAGTCAGTAACAGGTCTATTTGTTTAATTCAACTCAGTTCAAAGGGGCTTTATTGACATGGGGGATGCTGATGTTTAGATTGACAAAGCAAGTATCAAATATACAGATTAGTAACAAATAAAATAACAGAAAAAGAAAAGACTTAAAAATACAAATATTTTTTGTATACTTTTACTTTACTACACAGACTACTAGACAGATTATATTTGATATGACTGTTGGTGGACTTGTTGGCCCCACGCTAGAAAAACAACACAGTAAAAGTGCCCCTTGGATGCCCCTATCAGAGAAGTAGGTATACTCTTAATTCATGCCCCATTTTTAAAAGCAGCCTGTCCAGCAAATGCTGTGTGTGTTAACAGTGACATATAAAACTACTGCATATTTAGCTCTCCAGTAAATGGGCCAGTTGTATTTGTCACTTAACATCTGCTGCTTGACTTCAGAGAGTAAGGATGATTATAAAATGAGCCACAGAAGAGGAGGGTGAGATTCCTTACTCCATACACTCGGGAAAATCATGTCATGCCTTCACCATCCTAGAAAACAATTTAGCTTGCAGAACATTACTGGGTTTACTCTGTGTACCCTGCACTACACCGCTGCCTACGGTAGATAAAACATGATAAAGAGGCTTCTGGAGTTCTTATCATAACCCCAAACTAACCACCACTGGATTAGAGATTCAACGTTATGACTGTTGAACTGTACTGCATTGTTTCTCATATTCAGTCTATAAATAATTAATATGAATGGGGTGAGTACAGGACACACATTACACATATTACCTGTGACTGGTGTGGAGAGGATCTGTCAGTTGGGTCTGGTGGAGATCCAGACCCTTCCTGGCCTCAGCGGGGTGAGCTGCAGGGTGGAGAAGGACGTCTCCGAGAAGAACCAGGTTGGTTTTTCTGGAGCCATCTGGAACTTTAACACAAAGACACATTAACCAGGAAATAAACTGAACAATCTCTCACAAACACTGGAGGTTTATATATTTTAATAGAATACAGTGAGAAAAATGACAATAAAAGACAATAAAAATGATTTTACAGGTATAATGATAGTATTTAATGAAAGCTATGCTAAAAATGAAGTAAAAATATTAAAAAAGCAGAAATAAACAACGGATAATGGCCAACAAGGTGTCCAGTATTAGGAATTAACGGACACCCAGCAGCCAATAAGAATCATGCAGACCATGGTATAACAAACACAGAGATAATTGAGTAAAAAATGGTGAATAATGTCTAAAAAACATTCAGTTTTTGTTAAACAGTGTCTCTCAGATCCTCCGGCAGGCTGTTCCAGTGGCTCCAATCGCTGCCTCGCCAAAAGGATTTTGTCCTGGACTTTGGAAGCAGCAGCAGACTCACGCTGCACCTGTTCAAACTCTGTGTGACATACATACCGCTGCAAGACCATGAAGTGCTTTAAAATCAACAGGCAACCAATGTAAGGACTTTAAAACAGGTTGTAACGTGTTCTCTCTCTCTCTCTGCTTCTGGTCAGCACACAGAGTTCTGAACCAGACCAGAAAGGAGCTTGTTACGTTAACCCAGCATGCATCAGTTTCTCTGTGTGCCTCAGATAGAGACATTCGAGGTGATAAAAAGCCGATTTAGATGTTCAGGTCAGAGTCGAAGACCACACTGAGGTTTGACTCAAAGAGCCTGTTTACACCTGGTATCAGAATGCATCATGGGTGATCCGATCACAAGTGGACAGCTCTAAATACAGCGTAAACAACCACCGAGACGCAATGTGAGCCAATCACTCAAACCACTTGCAGAGGTGGTCTGGCACTTATCTGACCACATATCTTTTGTGGTGTAAACACTAATGCGTCCTGGTCCACACAGATAGACCGCCTCCTCAGCTGACATCCTGTAAGTGCACAGACACACGCCGGCTTTTTTTAATATCTAAAAGACATTTAAAAAAGGGACTGCTCAGGTTGTTCTTTCGTTTACACGCCTCCAGACTCATGGGAACTGATCACACAACTGAACAACAGAAGCTAAATGTCAAAGGGAAGATAAAAGTTCATTTAGGGGGAACATGTGGGTTAATTTACTTCCTGTTATAAAGCCTGAACCCTGCCAGTTTATAGCAAGTTTTATCAGGTCATATATTGATGTGTAGAGCTGTTATTCAAACCTAATGCTAGTGCAGTATGTAAAGGGACAGTCCATGTGATTCATACCCTCATGTCCAAACATTACCCACCATTGTTTGGTTTCCTGCTGAAAGTACATGCTGACTAATGCAGTTTATAGGGATTACAGGGGTTTATATTTACTACTGTAATGTAAAGAATATATTAGTGATCCGCCCCTGCAATCCAAAGGGAGGGAGCTGGATGGCGTGTCCAGTGTTAAACTGATCAGGGTTACGTTGCTGCACCTGTGTGGTTTTATATAACATGGTAATAATGCCTCCAGTGTTCATCGTAATGCATCAAATATGAGTCCCATCATCTGTAGATACTGAACAGTCTAGGGTGATGTTATGTAGATATGCAAATATGTAGATATATAGATATATTCTATGTAGCTTCTTATCGTCACCCCTTTAATTATCTTTGTTTCTTATTTGATCTGTATTTATTTTATCCTCACTGGAACAAAATTACTTTAGATTTTTAATGAATTATACAAAATAATAATAATAATCATAATAATAGCAATTATATTATGGTATATTTTTTGCAATTTTCACTTTCTCTGGTAATTTTATGGTAAAAAAAAAAAGAAAGAAGCTGCCATGAAATCAGGCATTTTAGGGACAACAAACCCCCAAAAAGTCAGCAAAGTCCTGGAGGGACCATCTATCTGTTTCCCTGACCTCGGAGCTCCTCACCCAGCAAATACTGAAATCTATTTGTAATGTATTTGTAATGCTTTTATTCCTATGTATGTGGTCTTTCTCATTCTCTCTCTGTGCTTTCATTTTATCTGCCTTGTAAGGTTTTTAGTTTTATTCTGTACAGCATGTTGTGACACAATATAAAGGTCACTGTATGACCCTGGAAGGTCCTTAACCACACTGTGATTATCATCTTAAATAAGAACATTTTTTAAATATAAGTTTATGAAGGAAGGACAAAATCAAATAAAACAGCATGAATGTTTGGACCAACTTGCAAAAAAGTTAATTTTGCCTCCATTAAAGTCCTTTAAATTTAATCTCATCTAAGTGAATGTGTTAAATTTGACACCACACTGGGGTGGCCAGGCATGTTTTAGGTGTGGCAGCCCTTTTAGATCCGCCTCTGTGGTTACATGAAGTTGATATTTTAGCCACCATCTAAAGACTGGAGTCACATTTTAAGCTGAATAATGCAGCTTGATTAATCTTTCATGAGTTTAGAACACTTTTCTACAATGTTTTCTGGGATCATTGTGAATAAAAGGCTTCAGTAAAGGACCCAGGTTACAGGATCCGGAGGGTCCAGCTGCGCTTTGTGTTCACTGCTTTTACTCCTCTTCAGTTCTTCATCAGCGCCATCAAACATACAGTATAATGTAGAAACAGTCGGTTTATTCTGTGCACAAACTCACCTGTCAGCTCGGCTCCGTGCGTCCTGGTTGTGAAATAAAAGGGAAGTCCAGAGCCGATCAACAGGCTGCACCTGAACTACAGCGCCTTCCTCATCCTGCAGCCGGCGCGCTCTGCAGACCCGGACTCGATCCAATCCTCCTTAAAATACTGGACTCAGTGACACCAGAACCCCTCGTCGACCCTCGGACAGATAAAACTACCGTCTGCTCCCCGGGAGGAGAAAGGTGGAGAGGTAGACTGCTGAAAGAGTGTGCGTATCTCCCGAGGGTTGCGCGCGCAGTGACTCCTCCCTCAGGTTGAATGGGAGCTAATGCTGGTGGGATAATCAATGCTGGTGGGATAATCAATGCTGGTGGGATAATCAATGCTGGTGGGATAATCAATGCTGGTGGGATAATCAATGTTAGTGGGGACAATGATTGGGAATTGGGTGATTTTGGTGCCCAGCCCCTGAGCAGCAGCTCTTTTCACTCCGTCGTCATTAAAGCATTAAACATCTGCAGGTCTGGGCTGAAGTGTTGCCAGAGTACAGAAGAGGATTAGGGCCAAATGTGAACATTTTATTTGAGTTTTTTTTTTTTTTTTTTTTACTTTAAACTCAAATATAATGTTCACATTTGGCCCTAATCCTCTTCCGTACTGGAGAGATAAGTGGGAAACTTCAGTCACAGCTTGAATTGGGACAGAAATGTATGCGGACGATGTTAAAGCTGCAGCAGGTAACTTTTATAGACACAATCATATTTGTTGTATACAAAACTCAGAGCTGCAACAATTAATCGATTGAAAAACAACAATGTTAATATTGGATCAATTGTTTCAGTCTTCTTTCAAATAAAAATGTCAATTATTTTCTGCTTCCAGGTTCTTAAATGTGAGGTTTCTTTGTCATTTATCATCGTAAATGAAGAGTCTGGATATCATTCGCATTCTCATTCAGATATCTTAAGGTCAGAGGTCAAGTGATCCTTTTGAAAATTTAGCCGACCTTTGGAGCGTTATTTAGCCCCCTTCCCAACATGCTAGCGTGACATGGTTGGTACCGATGGATGCGTTAGGTCATTTAGTTTTATGTGATACCAGTATCAGGATCTGCAACTGATTAGTTATTCTAATATTTATATTTCGATTTCGATAGTATTTCCCATTTTTGCTGAGCAAGAGTTTTGTGCAAATGGAATTAAAGGCCTGTCTGAAGCATATAAAAGCTATTCATTGGAGTTTTACAGTATCGTTACTGATCTGCAATCACTATGCTTTCCCAGCAGTGAGCAAACAGGAAGTCATCAAGTTTATGCAGTTACAAGCCTTATTGTGAAACTAAACCGGCTGCGAACTGAAGCTGGAGACCCGGTTGTCTTATCAAAGCTGAGCGAGTCCGTCTCCACCCATAAACCGTCCCTCGGCCTCATCCGAACAGTCGACTGTGAACGTGACATGACAGGCAGACGTTACACAAGATGATTAGCAGCGAATAGAGATGTTCCAACATGTGATTCAAAGTCTACTGAGGTTTATTACAAAGCAGTTAGACAAGGAAATATTTACAACGAGCAATTCACAAAAAAATCTCCACCCGCCTCCAGCTTTCCCCCGCCAGTACTGACACATCCTGTTTATATTACAGGGCCACTGATTATACTGCTGTATTTATGGAAATCAAACAATAAAGCTGATCTTTGTTTCAGCATTAGGACACCAGGAAGAACAAGGCAAACATCGAATTCTGTTTATGACTCAGTGTCGCTTTTAATCTTAACTGGCACAAACTTGTGTCGGGTTGTAAATACACCACTGTGAGTTTATTAAGTCGATTTCAGCCTTTTATTGAACGTCAGAGTTCATCCTCGTCTCTGAACACAGCCACAGAAAAATTAACTAAACACAATGAAACTTTGTTTTATTGTATTATATTATCATCAAGTATTCATTTACAGGTAAGTAATATAACCCGTCCAGCCTTTAAGTGCTGACCAGGTGGGCTCAGGACTGTCTTAAAGGAACAGGACGCTCCAAACTCTGTCTGTTAATGCCAATACCAGGCCAACTTTTATCAGTCCAGATTGGACTTTGTCAGCTGTCCTGCTGTGGGATAAATGTTTATGCAAATGTACGATGAGTTTGATAATATCACAGCAACGATATGAGATTCTCTCGGTATGATAACACGGTTTCACAGTCCAATGACCCTCAAAGGAATGAAAACAGAAGCTTGGCTTGTTTTTGTTGAAAAAAACGCTTCTATATTTTTATAATAACATTAACACTGTAGAGTTCTGTAGCAAATGTTGTTTGAAGCTGAAATCACTAAAAAATTGTTCGACAACGTCCCCTTAGAGCAGGTTTATAAAGCACGCTTCACCGATACGTATGAAAACCGGTACACGTGTAGATCATGTCCATACGGGCAAAAAAGCCTCAAGGACCCGTACCCCAAACCCAACAGCAGGTCGGCTATCAATCTGATCTTTTAAATTCTGATCGAGCCGCTTTCATATGTGTTCCAAATCAGGTACAGTGTGATTGTTTGCAATGTGACCTCAGTGTGAACAGTTATATCAGAAGTCATGTGACTTTTACGTCACTCTAAATGTCATGTGGGTCACTTTAGAACCGTGACCTGTGATCTGATATGAGCCACACTCAAAATACAATGTGAATCATCACATCATGGTTTAAACTAATTACGAAGACTCTGAAACACTTCAATAACCTCATCGTCCTCAAGAAAGGTCATTTCTTTGCTGCCATGATCAAAATGAGCATCCTGATACAAACAGTGAGTAAAACAGTCCAGCACTTTGAATTATGGTGGGTTAAATCAATAAAAAAACACAAATGTTGGTCCATTAACAAGTCAATCACATGTGATCATGTGTTTTATACAGTATGTTCAATCTGTGCAAAAGACCTGTTGGATCCATTCTGGCAAACACAGATCAGAAAAGCTCCTGTTTCTGTGTGACGCTGTCGGACGAGATGAAACAGCACAGCGGAGAGAAAACAGCCATCGAGTCGTTCAGTCGCAACCGTTTCTCTGCTGCACGAGGACAAGTTTCAGGAGCGCTGAACGATGCTGTCAATGCTCTTCTGGATATCGGCCATCTTCTTCAGCACCTGGTTGACTTTGGTCTCGTCAAACTCCAGACACACAAACTCTGAGTCCTGAGGGGGGAGGGAGGGAGAGAGAGAGAGAGAGACACACACACACACACACACACACACACACACATTATTAACACTCCTATTCAGAGTACAGACATTCACAGTAAACCGGTGGGATTCCAGTTTAGTAACTTTGATAGCGATGTGGCTCTGCTGTTGACGTTGGAGCTGCAGCAGTGTTAGCTACTGTTGCACAATGTGAGGAAGCAGAGACAGAGAGCACATAAACGTCACAGAACATTCAACCCTCATCCGGACATATCAAAGGCATATAAATGGGGAAGGTCTAATTCTTGATAAAAGACTAATAATAATTCAGTTAATGCAGGCGTAAATGGAAACACGTTGGCCTGATTTCCAGTCTGAAGTTTATGAAAACCAGGTTCCCCTCCACCGAGACTGAAGACTTTAAAGGACACCTTGATGGTCGATGTTAACGCGTTTACCTCCTCAACCTACTTGTGCTGCCTTCAGGCTCCTGCTGGATATAATTAGATTTGATTTGAATGGACTAATAATAGTGTGCGTATCTTACAGTGTAGTACAGTATAACACAGGATGTTGCTCTAGTCTGCTGACCTGCTTTCTCCGTGCTGTGGGACCCACAGACTGGGTCAGATTCAGAGAGAACAGGGACAAGAGAGACTCCTGAGGGACCAAACACTCCCCACCAGGACAGCACGCTTAACTTTCACCATGAGAAACTCCTTTTAAATCCCAAAACTATTTAGCTATAGACAAAGGGGCGTTTCCAGGGATAGCATCTTTCAGGAGCTGTAGCAGGTATCAAATGACACTAGATGGCCCAACGCATCCATCGGTACCAATCAGGCTAGCATGGCGGAAAGAGGGCTTAAACACGCTCCAAATTTAGGCTAAATTTTGGCACAGGAAAACCTGGCATGGCCTTTTTCAAAGGGATCCTCTGACCTTTGACTTCAAGATGATAAAAATGGGTTCTATTGGGACCCATGATCCTCCCAGACCGGCCCACTTTATACTCATTCAATGCAGTTTAGAGCAAAAACCTTCCATGTGCTATAAATGCGTTATTTTCACGCAGCATATTTGAATATTTCTGCATACTGGGGTATAAATTGGTTAAGACTGAGACTCATACTTCATGCCACCCCTGCACAAGTCTGTGCCACACCGGTGCTTCCTGCTTCTACTGTCAAAAGAGATCTGTCTGGAGCCGCGCACATATTTGAGCCCTGTAATGCTAATTTCCTGCAGCATATTAAGCACACCGGTAAACCATTTTCTTCTGAAACTCTTAATACTGATACCCAGCCGAGCTAGCGAGACTCAAAGATTCGTATCCACCCCTAGCAACCAGGTCAGGACTTAAGGAATGATGCACATTTTAGTTGAGAAATGTTTTAAAACTTTTCTGCTTTTATTGGGTGTGGCTACATATTTTTACAATTGGAGAATGGAAGAATCAGTTATATCATTGTTGTTCACAGGAGAGTCTTCAGGTACTTTTGTTCCTGCTATTGCTGCAGAGACCCTAAGCCACAGCAGATGATATAGAAAAGGATGAACTCTGCAGACAGACTGGTCATTTTGGGCAGGAGTGAGGAAAGCTGACCCCTGACCCGAACTGGACTGAGCCCAGAGCATCCATAGCATTTTACAAACCAAATAATGAAAATGTAATTGCCCCCGATTTCTCTAGACAAATGGAATTCCAACATTTAGCTCCATTATAAACCTAAAAATAGAAAAACAGGATTAGAGCTAAACAATTCTTAGACCTATCAATCATCCACAGCATAGTCGGAAAGATAAACTCCATCCACGTGATCCATGATTGTTTACAGTCTCTGGCTCTTATTAAACCACGAGGCCTGTGGCTTGTAGGTTGGAAAACATTAGGAGAGGAATAAGAATAAGATGCTTGCAGTGCGTATACATCCCAAATCTCAACACGCATTGTCAAACGATCTTTTACAATGATGTCGAGAAACAGAGAAATATGCACAAATTGCAATAAGATTCACGATTAGTGGGGAAATGATCAATTTGCATCACATATTAAATTCTCATGGAAAGAAAAATCTGAATTTTTGAAGACCAAACAAACATGTTTTGTTTCTGGAGAGGATTTGTAGAGCAGGAATCTCCACAGCACCACAGGACTTCATTATAACGCTGTTTGTCACATTTTATATTTGTGATTTCAGATCGTGCAGCTTTAAAAGCGCTCTACACAAGATGTTCAAATTACACGTGAGAAGGAATACGACTCCTGTGAACACAACTTAACTTAAATTCCCCTCGACTGGGTCAAAACTGGAGATAAAGGATTTGAAAAACTGTATTTAGGAGGCATTCTGCTCTTTAGAGTCCCTCAACTGTATGTTGTCTGATAGATTTCAGGACGTCAGTGCTGACATTACAGGTATTGTTCAGCTTTTTCCAGGAATCATTTGGAGCACACAGACACTGAAATCAGACTGAAAAGGGCAGAGCTTAAGAGAGCTGAAGAGCTGAAGAGCACAGAATGACTCTGATTGTTTGTCGCTTTCAAGTATTTCCACTCTTTCTGCCAGTTTGCCAGATCCATTTCACTGTGTCACTATAAATTGACTTTAATGGGTCATGTTGAGCCTCAAGCCAGAGTTTTTAATGTCACAAAGGTGGCTCTAGATCGCCATGGTAACCTTTGCTGCACACCTTTGACAATATACAAGCCTTTCGAGTTTGTGAGATCTGTCAGTTCACGCTACGCGGATTTCAGTCTGGTCACGAGGAGTCTTGAAGTGTTGTGGTTCTCACACTACGCGACTGATCAGCAACAATCTGATCTACACACTACATTTAATCAGGAGTCATTATTAACGGCATTAATAATGAGGACATCATGTTTAATTAACCAATTAGATTCAAAACAAAGAGCAACCAGTGACAGCAGACTGCTGTTAGAAGTAAAATAGGCTGATAATGAGCCTGATTAGTAAGCATCAGTAATCAATAAACACATTATTAAAGCATTAATTAAACAGCAGTTTGACACCATATCTGCAGTTTGAATCCAACTAAAAGCGCCCTGCACCAAACTCCCTTTAAGAAATATCACATTTTAACAATTCCCAACGTGTCCGTAACAACACGTAACTCTAGAAACACGAGCTAAAGGCCGTCATATGTCCACAGTCTGACTGTCAATACAGGATCAATATGATCCATAAAGATACAGTGTATACTGATCAATATGATCCATAAAGATACAGTGTATACTGATCAATATCATCCATAAAGATACAGTGTATTCTGTCTCTTTCAGTGGTAGAGGAGTCGAGATATACATATAAATATATATATAAATATACATATGAGTGATACAGATTCTCCACTACGTAATATAATCCGACTTGTTGAGCTGTACGTTAGTGATGTTAGCTGTGTAATCACAGTAGTGTAAACTGTATCCATCCTTCACATATCTGATGTTTAACGGTGATCAAAGTGTGGAAATACTGTGGACTGGAACCACACGACCCAAACAAAAAGGAGCTCATAGTGGATGTGAGGAGGGCGAAAACACCTGTGACCCCTGTTTCTATCCAGGGGGTCCCTGTGGACACTGTAGAGGAGTATAAGTACCTGGGGGTGTACTTTAATAACAAGTTGGACTGGACCAGAAACACCGAGGCTGTCTACAAGAAGGGCCAAAGCCGACTCTTTTTCCTGAGGAGGCTGAGGTCCTTTAACATCTGCCAAATGATGCTGAGGATGTTCTATGAGTCTGTTGTGGCCAGTGCGATCTTCCTCGCTGTCACATGCTGGGGCAGTGGGCTGAAGGTCGCAGATACCAACAGACTTAAACTGATCAGGAGGGCCGGTGATGTCGTGGGGGGGGGAGCTGGACACCCTGAGGACCGTGGCAGAGAGGACACACTGGCCTCAGCAGAGGAGCACCTTCAGCAGAAGACTCCTCTCACCCAGATTCACCACAGAGCGCCACAGGAGTCATTCCTGCCTGTGGTCATTAAACTCTACAACGCCTCCCTCAGAGAGTCAGACACATATATATTCTTAATATATTATACGTTCTGGATTCTGAAACAATCTCATTAACATAAAGGGTCTGCCACTATTCAGTTCAGTTGTCCCCTGGGAGGAGCTGGGAAACAGTCCAGGACCCAGATTGTGTAAATTTAGCCTCCTCATGGGACCCGGACTAAAAACAGACCAATAATCCGGTTGCTTCCAGAGCCAGGCCTCCCGTCGTATGGGAATCTAACCGGTTCACGCCTGCACCGTCAGCCGTGTTCACTCATATTTAAACAGCATAAAGCTGTTTCCCCCTCACACCAACATCAGCCCTTGGTTTACATGAACAGCACTGCTATGATCCAGCAGAGGGCGCTCCACCATCAGCTACACCCATGTCCTGCCCTGTCAGTGAGTCAGTGAACGCATCAGAGGTTTGTCAGTCTCACCTGGCCGGCTCTCCCCAGCTCCAGCTCCATCAGGGCGACCGGGCCGCTGTGGGCCGCATCCCCCCGGCTGGCTGCGGTCTGGAGGTCCACCCTCCAGGAGAGGCCCCTGAGGCCGGGCTCCCAGCGGCTCTGAGCCAGCAGGCTCTCCCTCACCCGGACTCGCTGGCTCTTCCAGAAGCGAGAGAGGGCGGCGGCCTGCTCGGCGGTCAGCCCGCTGCTGCCCTGCCTCTTGGTCTGGGCTGTGAGGAAGGCCTCCAGCTGGGCGTGGTCCATGTCGGCCGCGGCGATAGACTGAGAGATGGAGAGGAGAGGAGGAGAGAGAGATGAGAGGAGGAGAGAAGGTGAAGCACACAGCTGGATTTCTGCATGTTTGAATACCTGTTTATTGTAGAATTTATCGATTTAAAATGCATCCATTAACCAAATTCCACACAAATATATACAAACAATAACTATTACGACTGTACTGATCCATCCAACTTCAAATCACTGATCCAAACCCACCTTTTCAGAACTGCTCTTAATGAGTTTAACAATTAATTGTTGTTGAGTGTTGTAGATATAGCCAATATAATTTCTTAGTGTGTTGTTTTTAACTTTTTCTTTTCCTTTTTAACTCATGTGTCATGTTTCTTGAAAAGTGCTCTATAAATTAAATGTATTATTATTATTATTATTATTATTACCAAGCAAAGTCACATTAACCAGCAACTGCACATTATAACTGCACATTATTCACTGTACGCTCTTTTTATTGTCACAACAATGTTTACATGTTTCCCTCTTTTGCCTCGTCTCAAACTGACACTTTTATTTGGTTACAATGAAGGAAAAAGAGAGAAGTGAATGTTACCCTATGGCTGACATTGGTTACACACAGTAACTATAATGTTAGTGCTGCCACCTGCTGACGACAGGTGAGACACACAGGAACAGACGGATAAATGGGAGCACTGAGGTTCCTGTTGGGAAGCTGCGGACGACATTCTTCCAAAAGATATTCCCCCATTTGGTGTTTGTGATGGAGCTGACAGTAAAGCTTAGAGAAGCAACATCAACTCATTAACTACACAAAAGATGAGGCGAAAAACTAAATTAAAGCTGCACAAATGATCAAAATATGATCAAAGTGACAATAACCCGTCCAGGTGAAATGTGTTACAGGTAGAACAGCAGTTATGTGCTTAAATATTTATTCTTTAAGTCATTTTCATGGCCAATTATTTGACCTCTGACTGATGCAGATATTGTCCTCTGTATTACCATAAACAGATTATTTATTACATTAAATCAGTATTTGTTATTGTTTGCATGTGTGAAAAGTTAAAATAGACATATTTGTATAAAAATGATGTTTTTAGAATTAGATTTTTGTCTTATAAATAAATAAATATCAATAAAATCTCAGTTATTAAATGTTAAAATTGTTGTTTTCTGTATAAGGTTAAATAAATAAAGATAAATGATGGCTGATCTTCACAGTGTGCATTGGAACAACTTATATCTTTCACTGAATTTATGCACAAACATTTAAAAGTTCCTGCAGTTTGCCTCTGTGGGGCAGTACAGTCTAATCACTGATTATTAGTTATTAATTAGTTCTTATCTGATATTTACCTGAAACTTGTGGATGCATTATTGTAAATTACACACATTTAATAATAAATAAAAATATATAGTCCTTTTTTTCCCCCAGCAGAGCAGGATGTGTCTCACCCTCCCAGGATGGAGGTGTCTCCCTACCTTCAGGAGCGCCTTCATCCGGTCGTGCAGGGCCGTGAACTGGTCCTGGTTCAGGTCCGGGAAGAGCTGCTCCCTCAGCAGCTGCTCGGTGATCTCCGGGTTGCCGTAGTAAACTCTCTGAGCGATCCCGTTCAACAGGCCGCTCAGAGACTTCGTCGCTTCCACGTCCGCCATGTTTCTCCTCCTGTCAAGTGCGGTCACGTGACAGGCAGCATATCACGTGAATTGTCCAGCGCGGCATTCTGGGAGTTGTAGTTCAAAGCGTGCAAGAAACGTCAGGTGACTCAGGTCGGTTATTTTTTAAACAAATGTGAGTTATTGGTTCGGTAGTAATTCTGTTAGTATAGTAATATTTATGACTTAATATCTAAAAATAATGATTTTCTGTTACTAAGTCAAAATATTCTCATTATTGTGATAAAATGTCATTATTTTGAGGTGTCGAGTCAAAATGTATGTCTTAGTTCTATGGAGCCAGAACAGTCTCATAATGGATAAATGCACACACAAATGAATAAATGCACGAAAAAGGACTCACAAATGTATTTGGGGAGTTATATATATATATGACTCGATACACCAATGCATTTTCAGTGCACACACAAATATGCTTCAATCCATTTATAAGTAAAAAAGAATTCACATATAAAAATAAGATTTGCAAACATATTTGTGATGCTCACACAAACATTTCTTGTTTTAAATATATGCAATAAAAATTCACAAATGTGCAAATCATCAGGTATTTGCAATTTTCATCAAATACATATACAACATGGAAGTTGTTACATTGATATATGAATTGTCAAACGCGCATTTGTCTCAGTGCTTTTAATTTGTAAACCTCCCTGCATTTGTGTGTGGATTTTTGAGACTCTTCTAGCGCGACTCCGATACACAAATGCATGAGACTGTTCTGGCTCCACATAGTTCCTCAAAAAATAATAACTTTAAGATACTAAATCAAAATATTGCCAGCGTTTCTCAGTATAATGGTATTAAAACTTTCCCCTCACATTGGTGGAAACAGGCCTCCGTAGATAGGGTGACCTGATCAACTTTATTGATCCACACTGGAAAGATTCACTGGCTGCAGCAGCTCCAGATACAACAGAGCAGATAAGAGAATACAGATAAAAAGTCTTTTATAATGTCTATATAACACAGGGTTGGGACGTAACCTAATCTAAGTATCGCAATAATAAAGTAACTAGTAATTAGTTTCTGTTACTTTTGGATTACCTCAACATTGAACATGCAAATAAAAACAAAAGAAATTAAATATCAATCAGAAGTATTGATGACTGATTCAGAACAACAGAACAATGTAACCTTAAAAAAGAAAATGGAAATAGAAATATTATAAACCTGCTAAATAATCCCAGTTCTACTAAATGTAAATGTAATGTATTCTGCCCTTTAGCTCGTAATCTCTCAGTTTTATCTTCTGGTTGAGATTATTCAGGTTACAGGGCAGGGGCTGTTTCCAGAAGGAGGGCTTGGGGGTGACACTGATGGAAAGAACTGGCATGGCCATTTTCCAAGGGATCACTTGACCTCTGACCTCAAGATATATGAATGAAAACAATCTCTATTTGTAGACACTTTGAGCTCATTTTATGCAGTTTGTTTGCATGTGGAATAAATGTGTTATTTGTTTGAATATTTATGCATAAACAGTTTTGGAATTGCAGAAATTGGGAATGACCGGAAAGCTGAGACACATACGGCACAGAAAGAAACACAGACAGACCAGAATGGATGCTGAGCCAAGCTTTAATCAGAAAGAAAAGAACATCAGATGATTTACCGAAGTATTGGAGTACAATTACTACTGATACAGAGGTTCTTTCATTAAAATAAAGTAAAGAACATTACTGGAAACTGTAAAAGTGAAACGGTCAATTAACGGTCAATTCTCTGTGTCACTAATAGATAGACACTGAGGTCACGTTCCCTGTGGTAGGTCAGCTGAAGAGGCTGTAACTCACAGGGTGGCAGAAATATATCCTGATTAAACAATCACATATATCAATAATTGCTTGAAAAAAATCTCCCAAATGAAGACATTTGAACACAAAAACATCATTGTGGCACATTAGTGAGTCAATAAATTGATATATTTTTCCAAATACACCAAAACAGATGATTAATTTTCATTTTTTTGTATAAATCGAAATTAATGTGTTAAATTTTCAAAAAAAATTATTCAAAGTCCGGTTTTATTCTATATTTTTGTTATTGTTAACGAATCCCATGAAAAGACTTCCCTACCCCGACTGTGGTACCAACCCTGGTGTCCTGACGGTGAATGTGGGACTGAGTGAAATAAACTACCGTGTGAGTATTAAAGGTAATGCAGGAACATGTAACCCAGTGCAGCAGTTTAATAGTTTTGGGATCACAGTGGAGCTCTTATGGCTGTTAGTTTTGGTCTTATCAGTATCAGCTCCAGAAGTCCAGTGAAGCTCACTGGACTTCAGCTCAGGAGTTATTCTACCTGCAGTCCCCTTCGACGCCCGCCTCTACGTTTTTTACTTTTACCCCATTTTTTGCCTTTGCGTCCTCCCCGACGCTTACCGTGTTTTCTGCCTTTGCGCCCTCCCCGACGCTTACCGTGTTTTCTGCCTTTGCGCCCTCCTCGACGTTTCCCCTGTTTTTTACCCTTGCGCCCTCTTCCTCGCTTCCGCCCTTTTCTAACCTTGCCACCTTTTCTTCCTCTACGCTTGCAGCCTCTTTTACCCCGTCCTTTGCACTTGCTCAGTCCTCCTTCACGACCTTGTGTTCCTCCAGCTTTGCCTGCGGCTATTTCTTCGCCTACGTTTCCACCCGTTTCCCCGCCTACGTCTGCACCGGTTCCTTCGCTAGCGCCCTGTTCTGGATTTGCCGGGGCATTGTTTGCAACACACGAGGGCGTAACGTCTCCGCCCGAGGAGCAGCTGGTGCACTGAAAAGAATCTCCGGGATTATAACAACGGAATATGTTGTCAAGGCCGAGTTTGGAAATCTCAAGTTGTTTAAAGGATTCAGCCTGTTGAGACGCGTCGGAAACATCGGCTACTTTAGAGAACGCAAACGCGAAACCACTCCAGTTCTGAGTGACATCGTTAATCTTGCCAGCAATACCGTCCTCATTTGTACACGTTGGACCGCACGGGGACTCCTCAGAGTAGATGACGAGGACGTTACCCTCACTGCTTTTAATGAAGGATTGTATCTTTTCTAGAACATTTAACAACGCCCCTGATTGCGCTGCTGCCACCACCCGGGAGCCCTGGTACACCTGACCCCCAGAAACAGTTTGCTTCACTTGGTCTGCTGGGTCGTCCTTGAAGACTTCCTGAAGATTACTCGGGTCTTGGTTCTGTGGGACGTTCACAGCCAGACTGAAGGTGTCACCGAGTGCGTACCTGCCAAAGGAAAACCCTTTCAGTGAGTATATTGTGATATAACACAGTGGTTCTCGTTCAGATACCCCCGTTGTAACACTATTTCAGAAAAGCACCAACCGACCAGTGCAAAATACATACATACCTCTGAATATTATGTTACACACTGGACCTTTAAATGTTTCGTTTCAATGCTTTGTTCATGTATAGAATCGATGGCTAACCAATTGTTTGTTATCTTCTCCAGAGGTTTTACTGCAGTTGAAAGTTTAAAGCAACGACTGCATTGAAAACAGGAATATAAATCAGACTTACATATCAACTATTTCAAATACAAAATTTAAACTTGGTTTAACAATACTGCCCTCCGATGGCTAACTGCAGTAACTAACTAACTATGAAAGTGAGAAAACCAAATTTAGATTATTTAGGAATTATGCTTGACTGATTCCCCCTGCAGTACTACAGAATACCCCTAGGGGGGACACGTACCCCTATTTGAGAAACATGATATAAGGTAGTGTAGATGATACACAGTTTGAATTGTGATAAACAAGCAACAAGGAGCGAACCAACCGTATAGTCTAAAATGCACCATTTTGTGAGGTAGTGGGAGGACTTTATATAGACTAAATGTATGTAGACTGAATTACTAAATCAAGCTGTGCATACATCAACAGGTATTCAACACACAATGAAATATGAGTATTTTTGTGTATTTCAGAAAACAAGAGCCACAACCCCTAACTCTAACTAATGTGCATGCACAAAACTGCAAGGTAGCAGTAGAAGATACTTCCATTTTATAAAAAATAATAATAATAATAAAGATTTTGTATCCATTCCAGCAGCTGAATTATAATATTAAGATATTTATGATATGTATTTATTTATTTTTATATGACATTAATAATAGAGAGCCTTGAACATTTTCTGATTATATTTGATAAATATTTTGAATATCTTGAAAATCAAGAAATACAGTTATGTAAAACAATTACAAGTAGCGGTTGGGAGGTTTAAAATTAAGTTTCTAAAATGTCCAAAAGGTACATTTGTATTGATTTTAAGGAGGTGCCAGGAGTCAGGTGTCAGGTGAGACATGAAGCAAAGAGCCAATCAGTAGGAACGAGCGTGATGAAACCCGTCGGAGTAATGGAGCAATTCTGAGAGGTAAATTGGTTTATTTATAGATCATTTATAGACAAACAGTCAGACAAACAGTCTTTGAGGACTCACTGATTCTTGATGCCTTCTATAATACTTGCGAGCCAGTTCTGGTCTACAGCAGCCGAACTCTTTCCAGCAGACAGGAAGAAGGCGAGGACCAGCGCCATCCAGCACAGACCAGCCATCTGCACACAGATCAGTTTTAATTCAAGTCAATAGTTTAATTCAAATCAATGACAAAAACTTGCCTTTTTAAAATTGCTTTTAATGTTTAGCTTAGTTTGATGTGTTTTTAGTGTTTTACTATTTGATGTTGTTTTGCTGCTTTTATGTTTTTTATGTAAAGTGTCTTTGAGTATCTAGAAAAGTACTTATAAATAAAATGTATTATTATTATTATTATAATTATTATTATTAATCAATAATAATCTTTAACAATAATAACAACTACACTGAGTACAGTGTTTTTGCACATACACACATATACACAAGCTTATTTTATTATATTTTATTGTATTTTATTCTCTTTCTTTACTCTTTGCTCTACATTCCCCTGTACTGTGTTGCCGAATTGAATTTCCCCTACAGGGGATCAATAAGGGAACATCATATTAATTATCTTATCTCAACACAATGTTGGATAAATATTTTTTCTCTAAAAATCTCCTAAAAATTATAATTAACTAACTCATCTTTACCTCTGTTGCCAGCAGGATCTGCTACAGCTGTAACACCCTGCAGAAATGACACAAATAGACAAATTTGAATTTCTAGAAATGTGATTAACAGGCAAAAACCTAATAAATAACTAACTGACAGAACATCTCCGCAGCAATTACAATAAAAAACATCACATGAACTCACGCCCATTTTGTGGTTAAAACTAATTCAGCAATGGTTTTGACAACAGATTAACATTCATTTACATACAGAAATGCCAAACATTTGATGTTTCTGCTTCTCATTTTCTTAAATTTTCTTTAAATTGTAGATTGTTTGTCGGCTAGAAAATCATCTGAAGATTAACCTTAGGCTTTAAGAAATTGTGATTAGTATTTTTTACCAAACTATTGATCAAAAATAAGAAATAATCAGTCCATGAAGGCGTGAAAATGTGCACCTTTTATTGTACGTACCTACTTTGATGGAGTATGTCTGCTCTGAAGACGTCCTGTTGTCTTTGGGAAGGTTCTGCTGCAGCGAACGTGGTCACAGGGAAGTGACTTTTTTCTTATAGAAGACAGAGAGACGATGGCCAAACCCATCATATACCCTTATTTGATCATGTTATTTAAAAAGAAGTAAGAGGAAGATCAGAAAAAGGGGCATGGGCATAATTTGAGAAGTTAAAAAGAGGATGAAATAAACAGCACTATCATCCTCTACATGTCTGTTTCTTTGTGACTGAGAAACAGAGAAGAATAGAAGTTATTACTATATTAGTGACACGTAGGATACCAGTGAATATACACTGATCAGCCAGAACATTATGACCACCTGGGCACCCTGGTGGTGCATCAATGAACAAAGTCTTTACTGTGCTAGTTATTGTTTCCTCCCAATCAACGTGTGAAATCTGGCATCCATTATTTTATTCTTCAATTATGACTAAAACCCAAGAGTAAACCTTTTGTCACCCATCGGTTTGAGGAGAACCGTTTTGCAGCCTCAAGTTTGGCGTTACCATCGTCGGCATGACAGTTTGCCGGAGCCAGCGGAGGTGACGTACTGTGAGTTGAGCTGCTCTCATTGGCTGCGCAGTTTCAAGTCGTCTATAGCAGTGAAGTCGACCTTCGACCACCAAATTCTAATCAGTTTGTCCTCGGGTCCTAGTGAACATTTGTGCAAAGTTTGAAGAAATTCCCTCAAGGCGTTCACACGAATGGGACGGATGGACAATCTGAAGAAATAATGCCTCCGGCCACAGCTGTCACTGGCTTGGAGGCATTAAAGTACTGAGCACCTTGTCGACACCACGCAAAGATGTTTGTGGAAAATACAGCAGACACTAAATAAACCATCACTGACGAAACAAATCACCTCAAACACTAATTGTTAGTTTTTCAAAGACAAACTGCGTTCGTGATGTGTTTGAGGTTGAAAACTGTATAAAAAAGGCCAACTTTGAGTATATATACTCTATATACAGTATATATACAGACATACTCATGCAGCAAACACATTTACAGGCCAATAGAGATACAAAGATAAGTAGTTGAACAATATAGATATATAGATTGTTACTATATACTATAAGTCCAGTGTTCGTGGTCCACGCAGTAAAATCCTGCTCCTAGATTTCTACATGTATACAGAACCATGTGTAGTGTAGTTGATTTAGACCTCACTGAAGATGTTTCTGGGAAAAACACAGCAAATAAAAGCTTTCTAGAAAAGCTCCTCTTCTGGGAGTTCACATAGATACACAGAAACAGAGAATTATTCAGCAACTCTTTTGATTATTAGTTGATCAGTTAAGTCATTTTTCAAGAAAAGTTATTAAACATTCTTCTTCCTGGTGGACTTCTTTGGTGTCTTTGGGATTTTGACTGTTGGTCAGACAAAACAAGCAAACGTCCCCTTGGGCTCTGAGAAATTGTGACTGACCTCACTGTTCTATACATTTTATACACACAGCGATTAATCCAATAAAATATCTACAGATTCATCAATATTGACAATAATCTTTAGTTGTTGCTCTGCGTTAAACTTTCCCGGTGATTTGGCCAAGCGGCAACCTCCAAAACATGCAGTTCCTCTAATGGCCACTAGAGGCGGGCTCCAGCAGGGAGTCAATCTCCTTAAGGCCCCATATTAAAATGTCCAACTGTACAGCAGAAATAAACATGTTTACAGCCTGGTACAAGGAACGGTTTTGGTCTCTGCAGCTAATCTCCCCGTTCATGACGACTGTACTGGGTGTACATTTTTTATACAACTCACCTGTTTAAATTATAGTCAGGCTTAAAGTTATGCAAAATTAAGGGCGTGGCTGCTTTGAGTTAAAGTTGGGTGCTGTCACAGGCGGCTGTTTTCAGTAACTAGGCGTCATTCAGCTCCGCATCTTTGCCCATTGCTGTATTAGCCGGGAGTCAGGACTGAGTCAGGACTGCCAAGATGGCGAACCCCGGGGGTGACGTCCACAAACCCCCCCCCCTTTTGCCCAAAAAAAAAAAACCCCCCCCCGCCGCATAATATAAAATATAAAAAATAAAATTTGACCTTTTTTTAAAAAAGGGGGGGTTTCAATGGGAAAAAAAAATATTTTTTTTCCCTTTTTTTTTTTTTACCCCCCTTTTCTTTTTTAAGGATACCGGGGGTGGGGGAAAATGGGGGGGGGGAGGAAAAAACACAAACACCCCTTCTTTCACAGAAAGGAAAAAAAAAAAAAAAAAAAAAACACCCCCATAACACCAACTAGAGGGAATATAAAAAAAAATGTAACACAATCGGGGGGATAACATGCAAACTCCCCACAGAAAGGCCCCCGCCAGCCCTTTTCTCTGTAAGATGACAGTGCTAACCGCTTTGCCGCTGAGTGGTGTTAGCAGTGACACCCTCAGACAGCTGAGTTATGAAGATAAGATGAAGACTTCTGCTTGAAGGATGACTAGTTGATTCACCTTAAAAACCAAACTTCCTGTTTTTGTCTTGCTGTTCATGAGAAAACAGACACTTGGGGCCTAAACGTTTACATTAAGTAGTGTTTGAGCATTGCTAATGTAATGTTTTTCTTTATTTTCTCAGTGTTCAGTCCTAGAATTGAACAATGTATCCCTTTATTTAACATGTCAAGGAATAATTAAACTATAATATAGTTATTTGTTTAAGAAAAGGAGCCTTCAGTGCCTTCGCATAGTCTGACTTAAGCTAAAAATAAATAAAAATCAGCCACCATATTGGTAATAAGTGAATTTCTTGCCTCTAAAATCAGTCTCGGCTCAAAAAACCCAAATCCCACGGGCTGTAGTGGCACGAGAAGCTAGCAGCAAGATGTAGTTCTCCAAAGAAAACAGAATTAAAATGGAGACAGAAATACATTAAAGGTGGAGTCAGCGATTCTAATCCAATCCATTCAGCTAATGTCTCCTCGCGGTCCACTAGCTGTCCGTTCTGTGTGTGTGCTTCTGTAAATGGGACTGAACCACCCAATCAGCAACGTTTATCTTTGAAACATCTTCAACATGTGGTTGTCAAACAAGCACATAGCATAGCCTAGCACACAGCCTCTGTAAGTACAGGGAAGGAGGTTCTGACCGAGGCTTGTGAGGTAAAGGCAGTGAGGGGAGAACGAAAAGGACCAACAACACTGGAAATACTTCAACTCTCTGTTATTTGGATCATTAATGAAGACACGCAGGCTCGTTACTGAGGTAGGACGGAGACACTTTTTCACAATAAACCAAAATATTTTATTGAAATCATCAAAATAACACAAAGAGAGAATTAAAAATAAGCAAAGAAACGTGTCTAAAATCCACAATGTGAATGAAAATACTTATATACAATTAATACAACATCTACAAACATTGGTTAACCATATTAATACAAATAAAAGTACATTTATCAGTCACAATATGACGCTCTGCTTCACTGAAAAAAGAAAACTAATATAGAAAAACAACAATGAAACAAAGTAAACAAGGAGCAGATCAGCAGTAGTCATCAGATGAACCTGTGAATAAAAATAAGCTCACATGGTTAAATATAATATATATTTAAGTATGAATATATATGACCTCCTCTGGTGTGGAGCGCGAACATCCAGGATCACTTCAACAGGTGGGGAAAGCTACCTGAACAGAGCCTCTGCAGAGTGGAAGCGCTAACTCAACTGACTGAATGGATCTTTTTAACATGGAGCCCCAAACGACCACAGCAGACACAGGATCAGCAGACACAGGATCAGCAGACACAGGATCAGCAGACAAAAGGGGGAGAGAAATCACCTTTCAGTTTCATCAACACTGTGGCACCAGGCCAGAAGTCAATCAGTCAGAGGCAGGTTACAGGAAACTTTAAGCAGAGAAAAACACAGTTTTGTTACTTCTTTAAGGACAACATACACAAGTAAACAATGTACGACAGTCAACAGGCTCTGAACAGAGCCAATGTGACTCAGACACAACGTTATATAAGTCACGCCCTGTTCTTTCTGAGGAGGCTCAGGCCCTTCAACCTGTGCACTATTTCTACTATGGATGTTCTCCCAGTCTGCATCAGGACTGGGCAGTCTGGTGAAGAAGGCCAGCTCCGTGGTGGGGATGGACAGTGTGGAGGCAGTGACTGAGAGAGAGGTTGAGAGGAAAGCTGAAAGCCATCATGGACAACACCTCTCATCCAGGAGCACTTTCAGCCACAGACTGATCCAGACCAGCACACAGCACGCGGTACCTCCCCCCCCCGCTGACTGAGACTGTTAGCTCTCAACCTGCTAAACAATCTCTTTTATTACACAATAATTAGAAACATTGCACATATACGGATAAACACAGGCTTATTATATTCCCATTATATTCCTTATGGGGGATCAATAAAGGAACATCTTATCTTATGTTATATTGTTCTGTGTACCACTGGATCTTTACAGGTACATGTAGGATGTCTGCAGGATGTGCAGGTTTGGTTTTTATCTTCTTTTAACTTTAGGACGCCAGTCAGAGAACTGTTGCTCTGTTTTTAACTCGGACACAGCAGGAACAACACAATAAAGACATCCTTACGCAGAAGTTTTGAAAGGTAAGTATTCTTTAGAGTCACATCTAAAAAAATCAACACTCAGTGGATGAGTGTGGAAGGGAAGGAGCAAACTGAGAACTGGGGACTTTCCAATTGAAAACAGCTTTGTATCTTTAATCACAAAAGGCTTACAGATAGTCAGGCAGACAAGGTTGAAACCTATCTTAACCCTTATCTTCAGCATCATTAGGCTACTATTGATGTATGATTCATGCATGAGGTTGATTCGTCACTAGTTTTATGTGTGAGCACCGGGGGAAGAAGTGAAGTTAGTAACATGCATTAATGGGACATGACTGTGTGCATAAAGAGAGAGAGAGGATGAGAGGACCTCAGTGCATCATGGGAAGGCAGTCTAGGCCTAGAGCAGCATAACTAAGGGATGGTTCAGGACTCACCTGATTTTCTATAAAGGTTTTAAAAAAAGCCCTTCTGTGGATTCTTACTGCCTCTGAGAAAATGTCCAGTGTTTAAACTAAGTGTGTCTCTTCATCATGACTTGCCGATTGAGGATGGTGATTAATTTGGCTGAAATGGAGAAGAAGAAGGCGCAGTGCGGTTTCAACTGCCTGTGTAGAAGCGGAACAATTTTCTACAGTGTGAGAACAGACACAGACACTTTAGTGTGACACATTTCTAGAGCCAGTGTCTGATTATACACTAATGAAAACAGTTATGAATATTATATTAGACCTATTTTATATACTTAAAAATAATAAAGTTTCAATTTAATATCACAGTAACAGTTGGTTTCGGGGCCAGGATATAATGTGTGGCAGTGCTCTCACATTAGAAGGTACCTTCAGTAAACCTTCAGTGTGGCACCATGCCTTGATCTGAAGAGGGAAGAAGTGAATAGAGATAAATAATACGTTAAAATATAATGCCTACAGGATCCAAACCTGTAAAATTATACTTGTGTTACTGCAAAATGACACACAGACAGAGCAGATTGGATGCTGAGCCAAGCTTTAATCAGAAAGAACAAAAACAACCGGGATTTACAGAAGTAGACAATGACAGGAGTACTGTAAATACTGACATGAATTTATCACATACTAATGTTGGAACATGCTGTCTCTCTTAAAATGGTGATGTTTGACAAATTATTTGGTGTTAATTAAACACATGATATCATTCTTGTTGAGTTTAATAATGGAGGATCCACGCGACTAAATCTTTGCTAAGGTGCTGGAAGCGTAAGTGTATACCACATATCACTTTATTTAGCAAGCTTTCAGTCTGTGTGACCTCCGACAACAGTGGACAGGCTGGTGCGAATAACCAGTTCTAATCACTGGCAATATGCAAAACACCTGCGTTAACCCTGGTGGCAGAAGCTCCACCCCTGGGGGAAGTACTATGAGGCCTACAAATAGAAGCCATACAATACACAAATTAGCTATGATTTTTGGAGCATATCTCAATCTTAGAGCATTGTGCATTTCAAGGCCACTGAGTTATTTCTAGATTTTTCATTTGTTAACTATTTAATGCAAAGCAGCTTGCAAATGATCTCACATAGATGTGAACTGAGAACAGTTTGAATGTAAATACATTATTTAGTTCTCAGAGTTTATGTGTACATGGATTTGAAGCTCATCCTGAGTATCCTCTCTACTGCCCTCCTCCTCTACTGCTGCTATCTCTTCTGTCTTTACTCCTTTTTCTCTTCCTGCTCTCTCTTCTGATTTTACTCCTATCCCTGCTCCTGCTATCTCTTCTGTCTTTACTCCTTTTTCTCTTCCTGCTCTCTCTTCTGATTTTACTCCTATCCCTGCTCTTGTTATCTCTTCTGTCTTTACTTCGTCGTCTGCTTTTTCCCACTGCTCTGTGCTTGCTCACTCTTCCGCTTCTCCCCCAACTTTCCCCTGTTTCGAATCCACCCACTTTTCTATCTTTGTGTCTGTGTCTGTCACCACTTTGTGAGCGATAATCACTTCTGCCTCGTTGAGGCAAGTTGAAACCAGATTGGGAATCGTCTGCGAAACAATAGGGGTCAACTTTATTACCAGCCGAGCAGCTTCTGCACTCAGGTGTATCTTCTATGTTGCAACGGAATATGTTGCTCAGACCAACTGAATTCCCAAGCTTCTCAAGGGCCATACGGTTCCCTTCAGGTATGGGTTCACCATCACGGGGCCGGAACACATTGGAAAACACAACAGCATAATTCTTCCACTTCTTAATCTCTTTTATGCTTTCCAGAATGCCAAAGCGGCCGTTGCTTGCACATTTTTGATCACATGGGGCAGCAAGAACGTAGAAAAGCAACAAATCATTTTCGTTACGATTGTTGACCAAGTTGTTGAAGTGCTGCAGAGTACGGTACTCTGCATGATCAGCTCTACCCTCCCAAACTGCAGTACGGCACTGTTCTTCAGTCCTTCTATCCTGACGCATCTTGTCCAGCTCAGCCCATGTCATTGACCTTCGACGACATTTTCTCAGAACGTCCTTCCATTGCACAGGTCTATCAGGACACTGATCCAAAACATTGTCCCATCTCAGAACTGTAGCTGCAACCATCCTTGTGCCAGTGTACACATCACAATCTACAATCGTATTTCTTACATCAACAGCAGAGTCTGTTAGTCGATCGGTATCATACTTTGAGCTTTCCCTGTTGTATGGAACGGTTACAGCCAGACTGAACATGGGTGATCTTCTGTCAAAGGAAACAGACAAACAAAATGTAAACAAAGTGTCATTTAAAACAGTATATTAATGAAGAACAGAAAGTTATATAAACCAAACCACACCACACTAAACTAAACTTTAAACTTCACTTACATGCTACTCAGTTACTGCTCTTATTTCGTCTCTTTGTGAGAAGTAGAAAAAAATTAAAGTTAAACTTCCTGTCCTGAATTTAATATATAATTGTATTGTGAATTAAAAATGGACACATGGAAAATCATGTAGGGCATGCATTGTAAAGTGTAGCATTATGTTCTGTCAGTCTCTGCTGTTTGTTATTTTCTCTTCGCTATAAAGCTATAATAACTATAGTTTTAACTAGTTCTATATAAGTAATGTTTAATTAATTACTTGCTAACCTTTTACCATTGACCTCGTAGTGTGGTCTATACCTGCCAAAGAAAACAGATACAAAATGTTACTGGTATGTTTGATTGTTTGATACTGAACAGAAGAAGATAAAGTTTGATCTATGGAACAATGCATTGATTATAGAATTATAAAAGACAGAATATTAGACATAGACAATCAACACACCACAGCCCACTGTCAGGGTTACCACTCTTTTAAGAAATTATTTTCCAGGAGTTTTTCAAGACAACCTAGGACAGAGCTTGCTCACGGACTCTGGTGAGTGTTAATCGGACACTCTGCGTTAGTTCACTTGTAGCGCGCTTGCCTATTCTCATCACACAAGAGTTTTCACAGCAGCCCTTTTGACATGAAATAGTAGGGTAACCAAAGGTGTTACCAGTGATACAAGTTAATGCTCTGTTACATTTAGTTTTGCAGAGCTTTTCCAGTGAGCCAACATGGACCCTGACTCTGACCTAAATGTAACGTAACCTTAATTGGTAACACCTTAAATTTGAACATTGAACAAGTTGACTCACCTGTTCACGATTTTAGATACAATTTTTGCAAGTTTATTCTGGTCCACCACAGCCAAACTGTTTCCAGCAGACAGCGACAAGACCAGCGTAACAGCCATCCAGGACAGGCCCGCCATCTGAGAGTTTTTAACAAACATCGTCAGCATAGAGGATCTCAAAATGTCTCTAATCTGAAAATGCTGTCAGTGTTGTTAATAACTAGGTCAAATCAATGCAGAACCCATGAATGTCATGCATTTAGCATTTAGTATGACTTCACTAAATAGACAGACTTTCTGTCAGCACCTCCAACTCTGACTGACTTCCAGTGTCATACCTACCACATCCACTCTTGCAACACCTGCTCATAAGCAACTAAAGCATGATTCAAGTTTTAATGGATATGTTTGATTTAAAGATTTTCTTTTACCTGTTTGTTGGAGAAAGATGTCTGTCGGATGCTCAAAGGCTGTCGTCTTCTTCTGTTAGGCTGCGGTAACTAAAATAACCTCTGAACAACTGGGTGACACCCCCAACTAACTGCCCTGCCCTCTGCCCACAGACTGCCCCCCTGAGAAAAAGAGTGTAAAACCAGCTCTGCCTCGTCGTGACTTGCAGAATGAGGATGTTGATTAATTTGGTTGAAATAGAGAAGAAGGCGCAGTGTGGTTTCTACTGTCTGTGTAGAAGAGGAAGAATTTTCTACAGCGTGGGAACAGACACATACACCTTTTTAATTGATGTTATCAAATATAATGATATAATGTATGTTTTGTTATCTAAAATGTGTTTTTAATTAATTGAAATCTGACTACACTGAGTTGCCAGTTTATTAGGAACAGCTAGCTAAAGCTAATACAGTGTACACAGTGCTGCAATGAATCCTCCCTTCATGAAGGTTATAGTGTTCAGAGAGAGGTTGATTCAACTGCATAACCATTTTTGTTGTTTGTGGTGCTGTTGAATTGTACTGAACAAACCACACTTATATATTAATGAGGGAAGGCTAAATAACACATCAATGTGACATAGTTTGAATTTTTACATCATCTACACCTGTTTGTTTTTTCAGAAAGTCCCTGAAGTCCCTTCAGGTGTGATTAAACTCAAATATAAGTGAGTAAAGGAGGTTGAACTTACAGAGTTCAAACAGGTTAGCATGGCAGTATTTCCCAAATGACACACAGACAGATCAGAATGAGAATGCCAAGCTTTAATCAGAAAGAACAGAAAATCTAAGGGTATTATTTTGCTTTATACAACTATTGAGTCCCGTAATTAGTCAGGTTAACATACATCAAACATCCAGGTTTAACATTAGTTTCAATTAGGCATTTTTAAAATAGAACAAAATTTATGCTCTGTAACTGTTTATGAATCACATCACTTTTCCACTTTTCACAATAATCTAAACACAGAAAACATTGTATGTGTGTCCGGGTCCTCAGTGTAATAAGCTGATAGTTAAAGGAGAATCAATAATGCAAAATATATTTTTTAAAATACCATTTTAAATAGGATCCAGTTAAAGCCTGAAGCAGTGTGTTCCCCAGAACTCCTCTACTCCATGACAACCCCACCACAGCTCCTGTTGTTCACACATTGTTGTCAACACATTCATTTAAAAGTTTGCCTTTGATGTAGCAGTTAGTGCATTTGAATTCGCTGTTTTTTGGTTTGTAACAACGAAATATTTTGTGACGTAGTTTGGAGTTTCCGAGCTGAGTAAGGGCGGCCTCTATTTCCGTCTTTTTAATGACAGTACCTTTACTGGTCCTGTCAAAAACTTTAGAAAACACAAAGGCGTGGTCTTTCCATTGGTACTTCTTCCAGACTGTATCAATCTTGTTCAGGATATTGTTCCTATTGTCGGTATTTGTACACTTTGCACCACATGGAGAAAGGTATGAATAGAAGAGCAGAATTTTACCTTCACCTCTGTTAGCTAAAGGTTCCATATTGTCCAGGACACGTGCCTCTGCATGCTCAGTAAATGTGGGAAATGTCTTAAATTTTGCTGCAACCACATTGGTACCTTGATACACTTCATCCTTTGAAACCTTGTCTTTCACAGTTTCTGCGGGGTCGTCTTTAAAGATATTCTTAAGCTTGTTCACATCCTGGTCTCCGGGGATGTTTACAGCCCAACTGACTTGGCCTTTAATGTTGTACCTGCCAAAGAAAACAGACACACAGCGTTACCTTGTGTCAGAGTATCAGTATAGATACAACACTGGATGGAGATAGATTATGATATAGTATTTATGGATGGTGTTTTGGGATTTTTTGTGGGAGGCGGCCCCTGGGCATGGAGAACATGCTGGGGGTGTCTTGTTAATTCAGAAAAACTGCAGATTTTTTTGAAATGGGAGAATAATGAGATAAGAAGTCATTAATTTAGAAAAACAGCAGAATTATTTTTTTAGGAAATCTTATCTCATAATTATCAGACAATAAGTTGTTGAAGGGTTTTTGGGGTGAAGTTAGTGACAACTTGTGACTGAAGATCAACTGTATTCATGTATCAGTTGTATTTTCTTGTACTTTCAAGAACTAGAAGAACATTTACTCACTCTGTGTTGATGCCTTGTACAAACTGTGCAAGCTTGTTCTGATCCACAACACCCAAACTGTTTCCAGTAAACAGGGTAAAGGCCAGCACCACAGCCATCCAAAACACAGCAGCCATCTGCACACAGATCAATTTATTTCTTACATAAGAGAGAGTCAGTGAAAAGGGAAAACTAAATTCTCATCTCAACATCACTTTATAGCACACGTTATGAAAAAAGAAGAGCTTTAAAGGTCCAGTGTGTAACAGTGTAACATGAGTGATAGAGCATGTGATCAAATCCCATCAGTCACAGCTGCAACAGGAAGCAGGAAGTCCGGTCTATTTTTCTAAATAAAATACCACGTGCAGACTCCGTATCGAATTTCACACTACATCGACAGTGTGACCAGACCAGAAGTCAATCAGTCAGAGTTCGAGGAGATTTTAAGCACAGAAATATCTTTTTCTTTTCTTTTTAAGGACAAATTGCACAAGTAAACGCAGATCACAAAGCGAAACCGCATCGCAGACATAATCACATAAATAAAATTTGGTTTCTAAACAGTGAAAGAATTTGCAGTATTCTAAAACAATAATAATTTTTTTATACTAATGCCCAATAAATATCAGCCACAGATATCATATCACAGAGATATCATTTCATGTACTGCTGCTTTCACTTTCACAATGCAGTTAAAGGTTATAGATAAACAAATGCAGAATACTCACCTTCACTATTATCTCTCACAGGATCTGTTACTTTAAAAAAACCCCAGAAAAGAACAATAAATATATGTTTTATTCACATTATCTCAAAGTTACAGTGACGTCAACTTTTAACTCAAATAAAATTACTTTGCACAGTCACACTCTAAAAAGTAACTCATACAATTAATTAAATAGTTTTAAGATAAAAATTCAAATGTATTGATTTAGATCAACTTTTTCAGTTGCAAACATAATTTTTTATTAATTGTGTTGAAAGAATAATGTTGGTAATTATGTCAGCTGAATATTGCGTGTAATGTAAAGTCAAATCTTTACACTTTAATTCTATTAAATATTCTCTAAAAAACATTTATTGTTCATACTGTAATCTGACTGATTAATTAAAGATAAAGGACATAACGTGTTTGCAATTATATATTAAAGAGGAAATCGTCATTTGACATTTTTAAATAAAAACAAGGCTAATATAATAATTGATATAATTCATGTTTAAACTGCTGTGTTACTTTTGGCCCAACTGACAGGGTCGACAGTAACAACGCGTCCAAAGTCAAATTAAACTGAAGTCGTTCCACATCGGTATGAAATATCACCTGGTGTTGATAGAGTTACCAGCTCTCCCCTTTTAATGGGTATGTTTGTGGCACACACAGCATTAGATTTAAAGATTATCTTTTACCTGTTTGTGGGGAAAGATGTCTGTCAGATGCTCTAAAGCCGTCGTCTTCTGGCAAACAACAACTGACGAACTCCCCGACTAACTGCCCTGCCCTCTGCCCACAGACTGCCCCCCTGAGAAAAAGAGTGTAAAACCAACTCTGCCTCGTGGTGACTTGCAGATTGAGGATGGTGATTAATTTGGTTGAAATGGAGAAGAAGGCGCAGTGTGGTTTCTACTGTCTGTGTAGAAGAGGAGGAATTTTCTACAGCGTGGGAACAGACACAGACACCTTTTTAATTAATGTTATCAAATATATATTTTTAACAAAATTTCTTTTTAATTAATTGAAATCTGAACTACACTGAGTTGCCAGTTTATTAGAAACAGCTGAACTACACTGAGTTGCCAGTTTATTAGAAACAGCTAGCTAAAGCTAAGTGCTGCAATGAATCCTCCCTTCATGAAGGTTATAGTGTTCAGAGACAGGTTGATTCAACTGCATGACCATTTTTAGAGGATCTAGTTTGTGGTGCTGTTGAACTGAACACACCTCACTTATATCTGTGAGGGGGAGGTTAAATCAGGGGTTCCCACGCTGGGAACAAGCTTCAAAGGGATGTAAGATGTTAACTTTGAAGACATATATTTTACAGAGCCTTCACTCTCTGATAAACAACAAGTATGTCAGCTTAACTGACATCACGTGTACCTTCAGGCCAAACCATGACCATGATCCTAAACCTTTTTGTTTTGTTTTCATGTAATAAAACATTGAGGGAAGAAGTGAGTAGAGAGATGTGTGGTCTTTAAAATATGCTGGACTACAGGGTTCAAACCTGTGAAATGATGTTTGTGATGCTGCAAAATGACACACACACACACACACACACAGAGCCGAATGGATGCTGAGCCAAGCTTTAATCACAAAGAACAAAAATAATCAGAGGATTTACAGAAGTAGACAATGACACGAGTACTGTATGAATTTTAGTCCTAATCATTGGCAGTATGCGTAACACCTGTGTTCACCCTGGTGGCAGAAGCTCCACCTCTTGGGAAATATAGTTTCTGTACTACTAATGTGGCACTATGAGGCATATAAAGAAACTGGGGTGAGAGGCACTGACTTATGCAGGGGTGGCATGAAATATGTGTCTCAGTTTTTCAGTCATTCCCAATTTATGCAATTCCAATACTGTTTATGGATCCCAGTATGTAGACATATTCAAATACAATATTGTGGGTACCCATAGAAAGAATTTTCATTAAGATATCTTGAGATCCGATGGCCAGGTTTTCCATCGCTTAAAACTTTGGAGCATTATTTGCCACCCTGCCCAAGATGCTAGCATGTCATGTTGATAGCAGTGGATGCGGTAGGTCATCTAGTTTCATATGATACTAATATCTTCAATCAAGCTATAAAACAGAGCCTGCTATATTCTCTTAAAGCAGAGTGGAAGAGGTAAGGAGAATGGGGTGGCACTTGGGGTGGCCAATTAGATTTTATGTACATTTCATGTCCCCTCTCTGGAAACTCTCTGGTAAAGACTTATGGCAGTTTAATGTATACATAGATTTGAAGCTCATTCTTCGTATCCTCTCCTCCTGCTAACTCTGCTGTCCTTTCTTGTCTTCCGCGGTTGATTAATCCTCCGCATTTCTGCACCCCTGGGCCTGTTCTCCCTTCTCTTTGGTTGCTTACTCTTCTGCCTCTTCTGACTTTGCTTTTTAGTCCTTTCCTCTACCCCCTGGCTCCATTGTGTTGTCCCTCTGCTCTGCGCTTTCTTCCTTTTGTTTGTCTGTGTTTTCTTCTTACTCTTCTGCTTGTTCCCTCCACCTCCCTGTTTTCTTCCTACTCTGCGTCCACCCACTTTTCTGGCTTTGTGTCTACTAAGATCAGCCTGACCTCCTGTACTACTGTCAACATCTGTATTACGGACACCTTGATTAATATTTTTCCCTTTCTTGCCCTTGCGACGCCTTCGGTGGCCCTTGCCCCCTCCACTGCCGCTGCCACCCTGACCTCCTCCTGTATTACTGTCAACATTTGTGGACACCCCTGTGCTTGGATTAATATTGTTGCTTTGTGAAGTGGATGGCAAGTTGTTGCTGGGACCAGGCTCATCTGCAAAACAATATCGGGCAACTTGATTTTCAACAGAGCAGCTTGTGCACTCAGGTGTATTTATATTGCAACGAAATATGTTGCTCAGACCAACTGATTGCCCAAGCCGCTCGAGGGCTTTACGGTTCTCCTCAAGTACCGATTCACCAGGGGGCTGGAACACATCCGTAAACACAAGAGCATAATTATTCCACTTCTTAATCTCTTGAATGCTTTCAAGAATATTCCCTGATACTCCCTCAGCTGCACATTTGTCATGACATGGAGAAGCAAGAACGTAGAAAAGCAACAAATCATTTTCGTTATGATTGTTGACCAAGTTGTTGAAGTGCTGCAGAGTACGGTACTCTGCATGATCAGCTCTACGATTCCAAACCGATTCACGGCACTCTTTCTCAGTTTTACTATCCTGACGCATCTTCTTCAGCTCAGCCCATGTCATAGACTCTTGATTACATTTCATCAGAACATCCTGCCATTGCACAGGTTCATCAGGACACCATTTCACAACATCAGGCCATTTCAAAACAGTGGCTGCAACCACTCTCCTGCCAGCGTACACTTTACATTTTTGAATGTCAGTTTTAACAGCGTCTTCAGAGTCGGTGTTAAAGACTTGACTGATATCATACTTTTTGCTTCTTTTGTTGTATGGAACGCTTAGAGCCAGGCTGAACATGGGTGATCTTCTGTCAAAGGAACAAATAGATTCACAAAATGTAAACTTTTTGAGAAGTAGAAGAAACTGAAAGATAATCTATCTGTCCTGAACTTCAGATGTAATATTTAATGTCAATTAAAAAATGGACACATGGAAAATCCTCAAGGGCATGCATTGTATCATGTAGCATTGTTCTGTCAGTTTTTGGTTCTGGTTTTATAGTCTTCTCTCTTTGCCATAAAGCAAATTGTAACTATAGTTCTAAACAGTTCTATATAAGTAAAGTTTAATTAATTACTTGCTAACCTTTTACCGTTGACCTCGTAGTGTGGTCTATACCTGCCAAAGGAAACAGATACAACATGTTACTGGTATGTTTGATCGTTTGATACAGAACAGAAGTTCAGAGAGTTTGATAGATGGTACGATGCATTGATTATAGAATTATAAAAGAATATCAGACACAGACAATCAACACACAACAGTCCACTCTCAGGGTTCTTATAAGAATTCATTGTCCAGGACCTTTTCAGGATACTTTCTATACAACCTAGGACAGAGCTTGCTCACAGACGATGGTCTGTGTTTAAAGGACACTGCGTTAGTTCACTTGGCTGTTCTCAACACAGACAATTTTGCTGCTTTCCAAATAGACCTATTTCACTGCAGCAGCAGGTGTTAGCTGTGATACTAATTAAGGCCCTGAGAATTCTTGGATAACTCGTTGCAAACTGACACAAGTTTCAGTGAGAATAAAATCGGACTGTTTGGAGGATAAATGTGAGTCGATTGCATCATACATGTCTGCATGTTCTACATCTTCACAACTAGAAACAAGGAAGTGAGTTTGGTGACATATTGTGCAAGAAACTACCTCAAATTGCAAGGTCACACAAAGATTGGTTGGATTTGAATTTGAATTGTTGCGATTGCATCATTGGAACTTCCTGGAGGGACTGATTAACAGAGGAGTTCACAAAATCAATAGAAAGTAATCATGCAAAAAGAAGAAATCCAGATCCAAATATCTGATCAACGTGCCAGGTATTAATTAAGATACACCTTATTAATCCCCAAGGGGAAATTCTTTTTTCGCTCTTACTTTACACTAAAACACAATCATGCACCTGCAGGGCTTATAGACATACAGTGTTAATGAGAATTAAATGTGAACATTGAACAAGTTGACTCACTTGCTCACAATATCAATGACAATTCTTGCAAGTTTGTTCTGGTCCACCACAGCCCAACTGTTTCCAGCAGACAGCGACAAGACCAGCGCTACAGCCATCCAGCACAGGCCCGCCATCTGAGGGTTTTTAACAAACATCATCAGCATAGAGGATCTCAAAATGTCTCTAGTCTGCAGCAGTTTATTAAAAGCAGGCTTCACCACCAACAACAAGCTGCTGCTTGTATAGTTTTTACTTTTAATTTTTAGATTTTGCATATTTACATGAAACATTAAAATGTGTATAAATCTGTCAAATCTTTTGCGGATTCTTGAGAAGGAATTTATTGAAATTCTATATATAAATATGACTGCACCTCTTGGACCTCCATTTTAGAATCACAGTTTAACTGTAATTTTGGTACAAGCACAAACAGTGTTGGGCAGCAAGGCATTACTAGTATTCAATTCAATTCAATTCAATTTTATTTGTATAGCACCAATTCATAACAGAAGTTATCTCAGGACACTTTTCAAATAGAGCAGGTCTAGACCGAACTCTTTATAACATTTACAGAGACCCAACAGTACCACCATGAACAAGCACTTGGCGACAAGGGCAAGGAAAAACTGCCTGTTAAAAGGCAGAAACCTAGGACAGATCCTTCGGCCCTAGGTGGGTGGTCGTCTGTCTCGACCAGTTGGGGTGAGAGAGAGAGAGAGAGAGAGAGAGAGACAGAGAGACAGAGAGAGAGAGAGAAAGAGAGACCGACAGTATAATAATAATTGGAGATAAGTAGCTTACATTCTGCAGCTGAAAATATTCAATTCACAATTCACAATAAATATTTCCATTACTTTTAACAAACAAAATTGTAAAGGACACAATTACCAGTTTTGTGGGGAGTAGCAGAAAAGTAAAATAACTTGTAGTGTAAATAATTATTTTCTTTGGGTGGGCTAACTGTAATATTATTGCTGAAAAATAAGTAGTATAAGACTACTAGTTAGTGGGGAAAGTAATTATATTTCTGTAATATTATTACTAGTAAGGAGTTACAACACTGTACACAGACGAACATAGAAAATGGTTAGCAAAATATTTTTTTTACTAAAACAGATATTAATCTTCTGTCATATACGAATAACCTGATGAATGATGAATTGTTGACCTCAATAAGCAAATACAACAAATCTAACATGGAGACATGTTTGTTGTTGTCATTGGTGTCATTATCCTGTAATTGCCACTTATGGCCACAGTGGCCACTATTCAGCAGTAACTTTAGTATAAATTTCATAAGTATCATAAAAAGCATGCAAGCTGAGAGCAAATATCGAAATCAACTCTTAAATTGTGAAGTCAAAGCATTGAAAATGCCACTTATTGTCCATGTCCAGTTATGACTTCTTGATTTAAAGTAGAAGACTGTTGAAGAAGTTTCTTCTCTTTTCGGTTTAGAGATATGATTTTTCTTAGATCTAGCCAAGTGAAAAATGTTTTTACCTGCATTGGTGGGGAGACAAATCCTGTTGACCGTCTCTGTTTCCTTCTCGGTGTAAGGCGTTGTCGTGGTGAATGTGGTAAGAAGAGAGTGACATTTTTTACAGGGGAGAGTCTGACTGTGGCCAAACCCTCAGAGTGGCTTAATGACCTTATATGAACAATAAATTATATTGAGGGAGGAACACCCGAAAAACATTCTGTTGTTTGATGTAGGAAGTTGAATATAGACCTCATCATTTGTGTTGTAACATAGCCCTAACTGATGGGGGCACTCTGTTAGCTGATTAAATGCTTAAAAAAGGGCATTGTGGGTAATTTCACCTATATTTTGATATTTATATTCAAAGCATTACTGGAGTGCCACTATGATATAATGTTTTTGAGTTCAAATATCTTCATTTGGGGTAATTTCCAACCAAATATTGATATATTTAATTAAATCAGCATATATTTCTCATATTGTCACAGTATTGGATGTCTGCAGAATTACATAGGCCACCTTTAAAGGCAGAATGAGTAGGATTTGTAGGTTGCTGTTTGTTAATGCATTGTTAATGTGCACGCACTCTGAGACCTTAAGAGACCTTTGTTTATGAGGAACTGTTTTGTGGGTTGTAGATTTCAAATCTGCCTCTTCATCCTGACTTGCAGATTGATTGATTTCAGCAGAAACACAAGAGGAAGGACAGGGTCAGTTCAGGACCTCGTGCACTCGTCCTGTGAGGTGAATCAGGAGCTGTCTGTACCATCTGTTGTTTATAGCCTAGTTATAGCAAAAGTGTTTACTTTGTCGTAATCTGTTCAATATTTTTAGTTAAATTAACCTATATCTGGATTTACAGCGCAATTAGATGTCACCAGAAGATAAGTAACAAATACATATTACTGTTAGCCTACATCATCCAAACTGAAACACAGAATAGTATTGTTATGCCAGTGGTTCCCAAATGACGCACAGTCAGACCAGGATGATGCTGAGCCAAGCTTTAATAAGAAAGAACTGAAAATGATTTGGTAATGCTTTATAGGAGAGTATACAAGTACTGTAAATACCGAGGTTCATTGACAAAACATAAAAGTAAACTTTAGTACAGTTTGGCACGTCTTCCACACCACTCATCAATTGCAGATCATTTTTGGGGTGTTTACCTTTCAGACTACGGAGAACCTTCAAGTCCATAAACAAGGAAGATATCATACTTACGATTTTATAAAACCCTGCTCTTCTGTTTCGTAAAAGAGATGTTTCAGGGTTTGTAGTCAGTTAAAGGTCCAGTGTGTAACAACCAAACACTGGTAGTAGGTTCTGTGGCCTCCATAGTTTCTCCTTAACACTTGAGTCAAGGGGTTTCAGTTAGTTGCAATCTGCAATCTCCCCCCTAGATGCCACTAAATCTTACACACGAGGCCTTTAACTGTGTTGGCTGTGTTTAAGAGCACAGGGGTTAGCAACCCTTATTGTCTGAAGTAAATTAACTTCTGTAAGAGCCATTTTTGGCCAAAAAAGGAAAAAATAATTTCTAAATAAGTTTCTGGTATCTATAGCTAAAGGAAAAGGCGCCAGTTTGAATGACGGATTTTACTTTGGTGTTATAGCTACACATTTTTACAATTGAAGAATGTAAGATTCACTTTAGGCCTTCAACAATGATAAATGAAAATGTTAAAAGAATAACTGTTATATATGTCCATATATTTTTTTATCAAAGCTGAAATGAAATAAGTGCATTTTAAGCGTAACAAATGTCTTTATGTCGGCCACAGTGGGTTCATGGGACTGCTGTGCATTCATGCAGGTTCGAACAGATCTACAGGGACAGGAGGGTACGCACGAAAGGATCGTCTAATATATGCTTATTAGCGCTGAACACAAAGAACTGCTGATTGGAATGTCATTAGTTTTGCAGGTATTTTACAAAAGTGTTAATTGACCTTGCTCACAGCAGCCATGTTTACATCAGGTAAACACAGGTGTTACCAATTATACTAATTAAGGTTCTGTTCAGTTCAGGTCAACCAGAGTCAGGGTGCTGCTATTTTGAGTCTTGGCCCACTGGAAAGGCCCTGCAACATTAAATGAAACTGAACCTTAACCAGTATCATTGGTAACACCTGTGTTTACCCAACTGTTTCATGACAAAACGGCTGCTGTGAAAAGGTCAACGCAGCAGCGCTTGAATGTTTATATTCTTCATGTCCCTGCAGATCTTTCTGACCTGAATCACAGCAGTCCTAAAAGCTTTGAACCGAGCCCCTCAACCTGAAGTGGAACTTCACTCATCGGAAACACAATAATGTGCAACCTGTCCGCTAACGGAGCAGCTGGTGCACTGATTCCCATCACAACGGAATATGTTGCCCAGGCCGACCACAGCTCCGAGCCGCAGAAGGGCTGCACGCCGTTCATCATCAGTGTTGCCCGGACCAACGCGAGGTTTGAATATTGTAGAAAACACAACAGCACGATTATTCCATCGATTGATGACATTTATCCTTCGGAGAATGCTCTCACGATGGGTGTCGCTTGAGCATTTTTCAACACATGGGGAGGAATAAACATAGAAAAGCAACAAATCATTCCAGCCATCGTTACTGAACAAGTAGTTCAAGTTGTCCACAACACGTGACTCTGCGTGATCAGTTCCTCTATTGGGCTGTTTCAGAACTTTGGCTGCAACCACCCTGCTGCCGGCGTACACCTGGTTATTGTTCATCGTATTCTTCACATTGGTACCAGGATCACTGCTATAGACCTGCCGAAGAATTGCATTCTGGTTCTGGTTCTGGTTCTCGGGGATCCTCACAGCCACACTGAACATGCCTTGTACTCCGTATCTAAGAAACAGAGAGAAAATGACACTTCTATACCACATGCAAAAACCGGCAAGGCATTAACATAAAGTGGGAATTATTTCTCACCTGAAACCATTTCAGAAACAAATTAGAGTGCACTAGTTCCCAACCTTTTTCCTTAAGGGACACCTTTTCTATCATTTATTAAACTGACTCAGTGACATGTTTTATGGATATTTCATATTATATTTAAAACCCAAACAGTGAACTCAGTAACTGCAGGACGTTTGTGTAAAACCAGAGATTTGGATGAATTCTGAGCAGATTAGTTTCTGTTTAGGGAACTTTTAATACAATCTTCTGTCTGTATTCTGTATTCTTAATCATTTAACGATCATAAAAAAAAGAAAAAAGATCCCAAATTCAGTGTTAATTAACCATTTATTAGACACAAGTGAACCAAATGCTGACATATAGGCCTACTGTGTATATTCTTTAAGTTTGCTGCATGCCTTAAAATCAAGTAGACCCCCTGTGAAACTCTGGCGACCCCTAGTGGGGGTCCTGACCCCCATGTTGAGAACCACTGTCATATTGTACTGTTGATCTGTAATACCAGATCTTGCAAGGCCAGTGTGTCCCCTTCGCTGGCTCTGACCATAACGCCAAACTCAGGGCTTCATAAACCGATGTGTGGGGTGTAAAGATAGATGCACAGGTCGTGTTTTACTTTAGGTGAATAAAGCAGAAGTCAACTCACTGTCCTTTGATGCCTCTTACATAGCCTGAAAGCCTGTCTGGGTCGATAGACAAACTGTTTTCAGCAGACAGGAAGACAGCGAGTATCACAACCATCCAGTGGAGGCCGGCCATCTGCATACACACACACACACACACACACACACACACAGAGAGAGAGAGAGAGTTTAAAAAACAACATATAGATAAAACAGCAATAATATGTATTAAGCACTTATACATCACATTACTTATATTTGATTACTTTTTGGTTTTTATCTCGTTTATTTTGTCATGCAGCTGTGTAAGTTATTATATTATTATTAATTATTACTAAATCAGGGAGTTATTTCACTGAGAGAAAGAGTCTCAACCATCGCAGTCGCCCCTAACTTCCCCAGTGAGTGTGCAGCAGTTATTGCACAACACCGTCTGCAGGAGGAACAGGGAGGATCTTAAATAAAGGGATACACAGAGAGGTGGAGAAGGGGTTTCTGGGATAAAAGTTTGTGCAAACTGAATCCAGATGTTGGTTACGATACTCTGAAGGGGGAGAGTTTTGTGCCCCTCTGCACAGTAAATCACAGCTCTGTAAAGCGCCTGTTGCTGATAATTGTTTTGTTCTTTATCTCTTAATCATTATATAGTCAATAATAATAATAACAATAATAATATAAGTAATCAAATTTTTATTTAAAAGGGGGGAGGGGGGTTAAGTTTCACTTTCTGTTTAGTTAACTCGCCCCAAATTCTTTCCAGTTTCTCCTCTCTTTTAGTTTTTAGAGTTTCACACAAGATCACTATTTTATTTTATTATTGTATGTTGGATGAAAACCCATTTAGTGTCGCAGTCCTGATGCGTCCTCCCCCGAACAGCTCGTCCCGTCCGCTGCGCACTGCTCCCCACATCGATCCGATCGGATTATTAGGTTATTATCAGGTTTCGATCGGCTCAGCAGATATGGAATATATTATATATAAATATATATTTGGCTGCAGGACAACAGCAACAGGAGAAAGAATCTGTACTTACGTTGGTCTTTTTGTCCAGAAAGAAAAAACAGATCCGAAGTGTAAAATCTTGGTGCGACTGAAGCAACACCGGATGTGGAATTCCAGGATTTGGGAAATGTTTTCAGTAGGTTTTTTTTTTTTTTTTTTAATTGCCTAATACTGCGGAGATAAATACATAATGTTACTACTTGAGTGTATTTCTTGGTGATGTAATTCATTTTAAGAATCTTTAAGTCTTCTAACAGAAAATCATTATTATGTATTATTGTTCATTTCTGTGAGGAAAACTAAAAGAAATTGTTATTTTTTAAGTTTAGATTATTGTTTAAGATCTTTGAAGAGCTGAACACAAGCCTCGTCCTGCATTAGAAATATACACATATATACATGGCCAGGTATCAGAACACACGCAATTTGTCAAGGCCTTTATGAAACATCCATATATTATGCGTAGCGTAATATGTGTCTGAAGGGATTTCTGTCACGAGTTTAAACTCTTTGTTTTTCTCTTTATAAAAAGCTAAAAGTCCTAACAATATTCATTATCTACTGCAGCTGCAATTAATTGATCAGTCGATACTCAGGTATACTCAGGTACCCGGTGTATATTATTTTTAAATATTATAGGTTGTTCTGCACGCAGAACTCCTTTCCCCTATTGAAAATTAAATTCTGATGGCTAATGGTGAAGGTTGTCTCGCATCTCTCACCTCTGGCTAATGTTAATGTCATAATGAACAAAAGGGTGTTTGTCCTTTGCTGGACAGGTGACTTAAAAAATATTGGGGCAGAAATTAAGAGTATAGCCTCTTCTCCAGGCACAAGTTTTATATTGTTGGTCAGACTGAAGAAGACATTTGATGATGTTGCTGTTGGATATTATGATTTTACAACGATCAATATCATACAGGCGATCAATTAATCAAGAAAGTAATTGGTAGATTAAGCTGTATTAAGCTCTGATCTCCTCCATTCTTGCTCCTCACTTAATTATTGAAACGATATTTATCATCATTTAATCTAGCTTCACATGTTTAAAGATCCAGGAAAGACACATATGATCAGCTTGGAACAATAACGTGTGTCTGATATGTGTTTTCTGAAAGTATAATCTCCACATTAAAATCCTTAAAGTCATCTATTCCAGTGCACCCTTTTTTTGTGGGGATCCACTTTTTAAAAAGACAAACTCAGAGCGAGAAGAGCAAATCTATGCATCACGTCACATTTTAACAAAAGCTGCCATATTGAAGAGATATAAGTTTGATGAATAAGAACTTCATCATCATAAAACAATAACACATTTTAAATATTTTATAAATGAAGTAAAATTAGTGCATTTAGCTGGAGAAAGAAATTCAGCAAATGTATTTGTGAAAATGTATTTGTGACCCAAACTCCCATCGACCCACTTGCTCTCCTATCTACTCCTTCTACCTCATTAGATATTCCAGAATATCTAAATATGCTCAATGTTATCACTTCTGCAGCTCAGCTCAGATTTTTGGTTTGGTCGCTGACGCGCCGCAGCAGCAAACAGCACAGACACAGTTAGAGACTCTGGAACATCTACAGCAGCTGATGAATATTGGACTTAAAACCATTACAAACACAACTCCAATAGCAGGGCTTGTCTGTTTTTAACAGCAGGTCAACAGAATAATTCAAAAGCAGTCAAAAGGAAGCAATTCAACTTTTTATTTCATTTTTAATCAAATGTGACTCAAAGCACTTTGAAGCTTTCTGCCCCCTTTACAGAGAGAGAGACTGGGACCATCAGGCCGGAGCAGCTGCACCTGAAGAGGAGGTACAGTTAGAATAGCAGATAGGACGAGTAGTGAGAGTGAGGTATACAACACTGTCAACATTCCCTGTCAGGATGCACCATATTGCTGTTGCTACCCATCATGTCGGTCAGTCAGGACTGATTTTAGATGTCCAAATATGTCCAAATATTTCTGTCTGCTTTAAAATGAATGTGTAAAAGTGTGGGTCCATCTTTGCCCTTTTTTTTGCCAATGATATCACCCTCACTGCCTTTATTTGCATCTCTAGATGAATGGCATCTCTCTCTCTCTCTCTCTCTCTCTCTCTCTCTCTCTCTCTCTCTCTCTCTTTATTTATATATTTATATATATATTATATATATTTATACATGTGCGTATATATATATATATTCACCATTGTGAGGATGTTGAGGGTCCTTATTGCTTGCAGCCTTATCTTTTATGTGTTCTCTCCTGTTAGAAATAAAACAATTTGTATTTAATAGAGTTTATGTGCAGATAGACTGAAAGCTTGCCATATAGAAGAATGGATAGAACCATGTACAATAATAATTATAACAATGATAATAATAAAGTTACCGTACGGTACATTCTGTATCTATGTTAAATAATAAAGTATGACCCTCCAAAATAAAATAAATGAATAAATAGCTCAGATAAAAACCAAAGACATGGTGATGACATGGTAGGCAAGGTAGAAGGCAGGTCAACAAAAATGTGCTCGAAGCACATTTAAAAGTCCAGTGTGTAACATTTAGGAGGATCTATTGGCAGAAGAACACAAAGCTGAACACAAGCTAAATTACAAAACCTAACAGAACAATGAGAGGGAAACACTGAATGTGTCAAAAAAAGAAAAATCATACAGTATCGTAGTTTATTGTATAAAAAGTTCTTTGATCAATATTCACAGGAAATAATCTGCTCGAAATTCATTCAACTGTATAAAATATATAACTTAATGAGCAGTCGCATTTACGCAATGATAGAAACCTGTGAGGAAAAACTGGATGGTGACTTACATCAACACCTTCATCAAGTCTACTGTTTCTTTCTCCTTGTTAGCGTCAGCCAAAACACTTCCAGCAGACAGCAGGAATACCAGCGTCACAGTCATCCACCACAGTCCAGCCATCTGCACACAGGTTCAGTTCATCGTCACAGCGTGCACAAGAAACAAAGAGCTCAGAACTTTTTCTGTTTTTAAAAACAGAAAATGACTTATAAAAAAACGTTTACATGTTTTTGAATGGTTTTCTCATTTCAAAACTAAAGTCTGTTGGACCCTGTTACTCTATGATTGTATTCAAAGTCTCTTTCCTTCAAACTTCCTCTTTAAAGCTGAAAAACAAGTTTTAATACCAAAATCCCGTTGCTGTTCCCGAGTAGAGGAGCTCTTACCTGCTTTGTCGGATGTCTGAGCTCTGAAGTTCTTCCTCGGTTTTCTTCCTGGTGTCAGAGAGAGACGGTGCGGTGAACACAGAAAGAGCTGTTTTTTTATAAAGGAGAGCGAGACCCCGGCCAAGCCTTCAGAGTGGCACCACTCTTATTTGAACAGTCAAATACCTTCAGTTGAGTTTATTTAAAACAGCGAGAGATAATAAAGGAGTAAATGAGCGACGTGGCCCAAAGTAAGACTGCAGCACAGCTCCTGTCGTCCATCTCGTGTGATAAGAGGAACAGAACTAAAAGTATCAAACTGTTTCATTTTTACTGGAATCCAACTGCAGCCAATAAACAATGATGGCATAATTATAACCACATATAGACAGAAACATTTACATTCAGTAGATTCTTATTTAAATTTGAATTCTCATTTGAATTCAAACCGCCTTTTCAGACCTTTTTTGATGATGCTGAAATACTTTTATTACTAGTCGTTCTGATTATATTTCATTCCCTTTATACTACATTACTTAAAAGGTCCGTAAGAAAAACTACAGCTAGTTCAAAATGGATCACCTCACTCCACTGCTAAACTGACTGTGATCACTGTTTACTGATTGATTTTAAGGTTATTTATCCTGTTTACTAAGCTTTAAATGATCTTTTTAATCTGGCTTTTAATTTGGAGTAATGTTAAAGCCTTAGCTTTTAGGTTTTAATCATTGTTATTTACACTATTTGTCTCTCTGGGGCTTATTTTTATATCAACTTTTATGTTTTTGATGTTTAACATTAAATTTCTTTAGCCTTACAAAGGTTTATTTATTGCTGTTTGTATGAAAGGTGGTATTGAAATAAAGTGGAGTTATGATCATGGACTGCACACATTCCGAGACCCTGGTCAAAAGACAGGAGGTCAGAGGTCATCAATTACTTTAAAGTTGAATTAGAATTTTAGCAATGAAATCAATCCTTACAGATACATTGAGTTAATAATAATTATTGGTGTGTAATAACTACACATTTTTACAGTTGGAGAATGTAAGACTCACTTTTGGCCTCGGCTACGACAACGATTAAAGCCAATGCCATAAAACTTACCGTTGTTCATTGCCTTTATCATCACATTCAAACATTCAAATTCATTCGTGTAAAAGTGAACGAGAGATAAAGTGAGTAAGTGAGTAGAAAGGTTTTATTACAGTGTGACTTCCACTGACACTGAAGCAGGCCTGCATTGCCAAGCAGTCTCACAATATAACGGAGGATGCAATCTTAAAGGGTTATGATTCCATTGTGTTTCCAAATGAATGCTATTGTTGGTTGGTGTCTGTTGCATCTGGAGTGACTATCTGCTATCATATCAGCTTTACAATGTGATTAATGTCAGTGTCGTGTTTATAGCGTGTTGTAGTGCTGACAGGTGGCCAACAAAATCCGTTTAACATGAGCACAGGTTTAACATGATGAATCTGTTGTGAACCTGGTGTGGTTTTAATAATGAAATATAAACTGGGTTGTTCTGTTTGGCCGACAGAATCTCATCTATGTAAGAGACAGACAGACAGGCCAGAATGATGCTGAGCCAAGCTTTAATCAGAAACAAACAACAGAAAATCTAGAGATTTGTGTAATGCTTTACAGAAACATGGAGTACAATGACATGAGTACTGTAAATACTGAGGACAAGAAAACATTTATTTCTTATTTTTCAGGTTGAAATTCAAAAATCTGACTATAAATGAATCATAAACACAACAAATGCAGATTAACATGAAAAACCGGCTTTGGGAATGGATAGAGGTCCACTACATGATCATCAATTATAAAAACACTATATAATGTAACATATATACATATAACTATATAATCACTTAAAAATTCAGAGTTTCAAATGAAATGGAAAAAGGTTTTAAAAATAAAATTTGTTTTTCTTGTTTGTATTGATTTGCTAACA